TGATTGAGTTAGAATAACAGACTGGAAGCTTTAAAAGGAGGGTGGTGGTTGAAATAATTGTTCTTCCTCTGTTAACCATGGTTACCTGCAAGGAAACACGTACCGTCATCATTTACTTTGCACAAAAAGGGCTTCACAGGCAAGGATATTGCTGCTAGTAAGATTGCACCTAAATCAACCATTTATCGGATCATCAAGAACTTCAAGGAGAGAGGTTCAATTGTTGTGAAGAAGGCGTCAGGGCGCCCAAGAAAGTCCAGCAAGCACCAGGACCGTCTCCTAAAGTTGATTCAGCTGCTGGATCGGAGCACCACCATTGCAGAGGTTGCTCAGGAATGGCAGCAAGCAGGTGTGAGTGCATCTGCACGCACAGTGAGGCGAATACTTTTGGAGGATGGCCTGGTGTCAAGAAGTCATTGTGATCTTGCTGACAGTGATTCATCTTTGATCTAACTTTATTAAACAAGCACCATTCGCCACAGTAGCCAGCCTGTTCTCTACAAGTAGAGCAGGGACTGTGTGTAAAGTAGAGAATCCCGCACATGCGGCAGGTAGCCTAGCGGTTAAGAGCATTGGGCCAGTAACCGAAAGGTCTCTGGTTCGAATCCCCAAGCCAACTAGGTGAAACAACTGCCAATGTGCCCATGAGCAAAGCACTTAACACTAATTGCTCCTGTAAGTCACTCTGGATAAGAGCGTCTGCTAAATGACTAACAAATAAAAACAGGCGCAGATCTTTGGCAGCTTTAGCCAGCAGAAAGAGGGGTCCAGAAAAAACGGATCCGCAGCCGTACCGGTGGCCATTGCATATACTCACTTCTTAATCCCTACGGATGCGTATCAGTGTAGTAGAGGTATACGAATTGTCAATTGTGTAGTACAATAAAGAAATCATGCACAAAGTAGCCTACACAATCGCAAAGCACGTGAAATATATTCACATGCGCGCCGCACACAGCCTAGTTTCAACTGAATAACATCTGCAGGCAGCAAGAGTGTGCAGGTCTCGACTAGTTTTGGCATGGAGCAGCACACAGAAGAATGACATCAGTAGCCGGTAGGAAAGACGTTTCAACTTTATATCTACCAGTAAATGATAGCTATGCCAACAATGGGTATGCAAAGCGGGTGTTGAAAAAGTTTAGTCCAAAGTGTTGGTTAGTAGGCTATTTGTGATGAGCAATTGTGCTGTTTGTATCAGGGGCGTAGACATGGATGGGCCTGGGTGGGGAGACAAGGCCCCGACAGGCCCACCCAATCAGATTGATGTGGTTTAAGCATTGTTGTGGACTTAGACCATCAATTATTTATTTATTTTAACAAAAGTGCTTTTGAGAGTGAAAATCTGAAAAATCTATAGGAAAACTCATAGAAAATAGGATTTTTTACACAGGGTGCCTTTCCTTCGCAGGGCGGGCTGTTTGAGAACTTCTGGGCAAAATTAGAGTATACCCACTTCTCCAGGCGCCACTACACCACTGCATAGGGCCGATGGAAAGACAGCAGTCACACACAGCATGATGTTAAAGGATAAGCAGTCCATAAACTCTGACATAATAAGCCAGTAGGTACACACAAAGTAACTTGTGACCTAGAGTTTAAAGTGGAACTGACAGCATTTTAACTACTTTGTAGATATGAAACAGACAATCCTAATATCAGTCAAAAATATCAAATTCCTAGTTTATGCTACTAAACCAACTTTATAAGAGGTTTAAAAATAGGTTTGACTCAACATTCCATGGCATACACTAAGGCATTGTTGGCATAATATTGAGCAACAACATCCTATTTGATAACACCTGCTGCAGCCACTGCAAACTAGCCAACAACAAAAGCTAGCTAGCTAGACCGTGGGAAAACTACTGCTCGCTATTGCTCAGTGACCTGTTGGCCACAGATAGAACAATGAGACAGATATTTCACTGGATGTATAAATGTGAAGCATCCTGTTGCCATTTCCACTCACTACCAAATACGGTAGTGAGAGGAAGCCCACTGGCGGGCAGTGGGAAAAGATGGATTTTGGTCGACATTGCACATTTTCTCATCCATTAAACATTTGATCTCAATACAGTTCTGTTCCCAAAACTAGAATATGTTATGAACAGAGTGGACTAAGTTTTGTAGACTTTACCCTCGTTTTAAAAAATCGAGCTGTTTAGGAGTGCAAAGGTGAATGTAGTTATTGCACACGCCCACCTCACAGAGTAACGGAAATATGCAGATGTGTACTAGAACGCGCCAATAGGATATCGCTAGCACGTGCTTGTTCTGCCCACTATGACTCATTTGTTCCCATTGGAAACTACAAGCTGGGGTCTATCTTGGTTTAGTTATACAAAATATGTTTGTTGGCCTTCAAGAAAGCAGAAGTTTCCATAAGTTTTAGTAAAAACGGTCCCACCCGTTAAGTCAGAATATTATTGGGTGATTCCACGGTCACTCCAAAATTTTGCCCTAATACAGTTGAATGGCAGATTCCTTTATCTAGCTTCTGATTACCTAGCCAATGGCTGACTTAGCTAGCTAAATGTATCTTCCCAGAGACCAGCAAAGAAAAACCCTGATTGGATCTTTTTTTCCTCTTCATTTTTGGTTGGAAAGGGTAAACACTGCAGAGAAGAAAAAAAGATCCAATCAGGGTTTTTCTTTGCTTAAATTAGATTAAATCAGATCATTGAAAATAATATAATTATCATTATTTTATAAATCCTTAGCCCTTCTCTGAAGGCGTAGAAGTCCCATTGTTCCCCACTGTGTTTGGGTTAGTAATAATTTGTAGAGTGGCTCTATTTTCCCTCAGCATGCATGTTTTCACTATTCTGAATGACTAGAGAATCCATATGTTGTTCTGAAATATGAACACAGAAATACTGGACATTTTGAACTTTTATGGTGGTGATTTGATAAAATTACAATCATGGTCATGAATTGGACACACATTTTTTCTGGTCTCGGGCCCCTTGTCCCCCTCCCAGTCTTACTCGATTTGCTCTGGTCTTGAACACAACACTGTTCACAGTTACAGTGGGGGAAAAAAGTATTTAGTCAGCCACCAATTGTGCAAGTTCTCCCACTTAAAAAGATGAGAGGCCTGTAATTTTCATCATAGGTACACGTCAACTATGACAGACAAAATGAGAAAAAAAATTCCAGAAAATCACATTGTAGGATTTTTAATGAATTTATTTGCAAATTATGGTGGAAAATAAGTATTTGGTCAATAACAAAAGTTTCTCAATACTTTGTTATATACCCTTTGTTGGCAATGACACAGGTCAAACGTTTTCTGTAAGTCTTCACAAGGTTTTCACACACTGTTGCTGGTATTTTGGCCCATTCCTCCATGCAGATCTCCTCTAGAGCAGTGATGTTTTGGGGCTGTCGCTGGGCAACACGGACTTTCAACTCCCTCCAAAGATTTTCTATGGGGTTGAGATCTGGAGACTGGCTAGGCCACTCCAGCACCTTGAAATGCTTCTTACGAAGCCACTCCTTCGTTGCCCGGGCGGTGTGTTTGGGATCATTGTCATGCTGAAAGACCCAGCCACGTTTCATCTTCAATGCCCTTGCTGATGGAAGGAGGTTTTCACTCAAAATCTCACGATACATGGCCCCATTCATTCTTTCCTTTACACGGATCAGTCGTACTGGTCCCTTTGCAGAAAAACAGCCCCAAAGCATGATGTTTCCACCCTCATGCTTCACAGTAGGTATGGTGTTCTTTGGATGCAACTCAGCATTCTTTGTCCTCCAAACACGACGAGTTGAGTTTTTACCAAAAAGTTATATTTTGGTTTCATCTGACCATATGACATTCTCCCAATCCTCTTCTGGATCATCCAAATGCACTCTAGCAAACTTCAGACGGGCCTGGACATGTACTGGCTTAAGCAGGGGGACACGTCTTGCACTGCAGGATTTGAGTCCCTGGCGGCGTAGTGTGTTACTGATGGTAGGCTTTGTTACTTTGGTCCCAGCTCTCTGCAGGTCATTCACTAGGTCCCCCCGTGTGGTTCTGGGATTTTTGCTCACCGTTCTTGTGATCATTTTGACCCCACGGGGTGAGATCTTGCATGGAGCCCCAGATCGAGGGAGATTATCAGTGGTCTTGTATGTTTTCCATTTCCTAATAATTGCTCCCACAGTTGATTTCTTCAAACCAAGCTGCTTACCTATTGCAGATTCAGTCTTCCCAGCCTGGTGCAGGTCTACAATTTTGTTTCTGGTGTCCTTTGACAGCTCTTTGGTCTTGGCCATAGTGGAGTTTGGAGTGTGACTGTTTGAGGTTGTGGACAGGTGTCTTTTATACTGATAACAAGTTCAAACAGGTGCCATTAATACAGGTAACGAGTGGAGGACAGAGGAGCCTCTTAAAGAAGAAGTTACAGGTCTGTGAGAGCCAGAAATCTTGCTTGTTTGTAGGTGACCAAATACTTATTTTCCACTATAATTTGCAAATAAATTCATAAAAAATCCTATAATGTAAATCTAAATTTGTCTGTCATAGTTGACGTGTACCTATGATGAAAATTACAGGCATCTCTCATCTTTTTAAGTGGGAGAACTTGCACAATTGGTGGCTGACTAAATACTTTTTTCCCCCACTGTATAACTCACAAAGTATGGAAAGACAGGATACTCTTGAAGCAGTATTTCATTTGAGATGCATACCTCTGCCAGGAAATACATAGATAAAGACTGTTTGACCAACCATAAAGAGGGTCAGGGCTTGGCTACATGGCACCTTCAAACAAGAAACTGAAGCTAAACCAAAGAAACATCTTCCAGAGTTGTGGATATATTTGTGTACTCCCTTGTATGCCCTGTATTATCTATGAACATTGTTTATGTACGGTGTCATTATGTTGAAAAAGCAGAAAACCATAACTCCCAATGGTACATTTGCTTCTCAAGGACTTGAGGCCACTAATGGATGTAAAAGTCATGCATTGAGAAACTAAAACAAAGAAACATTCTACTAAGAGTACTCACTTTATAAAAAAAAATAAAAAAAATACTTTTTACAAAGCTGTTACAAGATACAAAGATTATTTTGAGAATGGGGGCAGGAGTAGTTACAAATAATTTCACTCATGTAAAATAAGAGGAACAAAATAGAGACCAGCACAAACACATTTGCAAGGCAACCATCCACAAGGAAGGGCAGTCTAGACAGGCTCTTACAGAAACATGCTTTTTTTTTGTTTGTTAAAGAAAACACATTACTAAAGAGCTGTATGATGTTGCATCCCTCTAATATGCAGTCTCCTTCACAAATATCCCTAACTAGCTATATCCTAGGTCTGAGAATGAATCACTTAGAATGTGAGGCAAATGCAGATTTGCCCAGCCGCTGTCTACACTATTTTAAAAAGTCCTCCTTTGGAGACAGTCTTCATAGTGGAATGCACATGACAGCCTAAAACGAAAAGCAACACAAAAAGTAATCAGCAGTCTTGGCTCCATCCTGTAGGTAGACTATCGGTAGTGACGGGGGGGTGGGCTGCGGGAGGGTGGGCTACGGTGTGCTGCAGGTGGGCGACGTGGAGGAGGGCTATGGCGAGACACCTTGCGAACAGGGGGTGACTGATAACGAGGGGGTGGAGAGCCGCGACCTTGATAAGCGGGTGAGTACCGTCCCCTGGATCTGGAACGGGACCGGGAGCGTCCTCTGCTGTCCCCAATCTCTCCATGGACCCGGATAGACGATGTCTCCCCCTGAAAAATGTCCGCCATGTCAGAGAACGTCCTGAAAATGCAACATTTCCTTAAGACTGTAGAGCTGAGGATCTGAGTGTTTAGTTACCTGGTGTGATCTGAACTCCGTCCTGTCTAGGCGCCGCATGGCATACTCCATGTCCTCTCTGCGCAGGAACTCCACCACCCCTTCCCCGTCCCGCTGAACATCTGTGAAACAAACGTCTCCCGCCTCCCTCATGTGATCTTTCAAGTCTTGCCAGCTTCCAGTCGGAGGCAGGCCTGTGGGAACAGAGACCAAACCATTAAGGACTTTGGCCTTTATAGGCCAGTGTTTCCCAACCCTGGTCCTCAAGTACCCCCAACAGCACAGTTTCGTTGTAGCCCTTGACAAACACACCTCATTGAGGGCTTGATGATTAGTTGACATGTTGAATCAGGTGTGCTTGTCCAGGGTTACAATAAAAATGTGTACTGTTGTGGGTACTTGAGGTCCAGGGTTGGGAAACCTTGTTATTACTCCCGAGTGGCGCAGTGGTCTAAGGCACTGCATCGCAGTGCTAGCTGTGCCACTAGAGATCCTGGTTCGAATCCAGGCTCTGTCGTAGCCGGCCGCGACCGGGAGACCCATGGGGTGGCGCGCACAATTGGCCCAGTGTCATCCAGGGTAGGGGAGGGAATGGCCGGCAGGGGATGTAGCTCAGTTGGTAGAGCATGGCGTTTGCAACGCCAGGGTTGTGGGTTCGATAAAATAATATATGCACTAACTGTAAGTCGCTCTGGATAAGAGCGTCTGCTAAATGACTAAAATGTAAAATGTAAATGTTATAGGCAACCCCCAACAATACCAGGGTACATCTAACCTTGCATTGGCATACAGTGTCGTAAATCATGGAATTATTTAACACTGATAACTTGAGAAATAAAGCATATAAAAAGCTAATCAGAGGGAACCGAGTGCAAACTGACGTTGATCGAAGGAAGAGATAAGCTTTCATTAAACAAATAAGCACCGACTTTATCCACTTACCAGTCACAATAACTCTGAACTCTGACCTTCGAGTAGGAGGCCCAAACCTCCCTTTAGGACCACCGGGACCTCCTTCACCACCCCCTCGACCACCACCACCCATAGGACCGTTGAATTTAGAGGAGGCAGAGCGAGGGTGCTCAACGCGCAGCTTGCAGTCTCCAAATCCATAACCATTCCTCCCATAGACTGCATCCTCTGCATCACTAATACATAAGGACATGAGTGACCGTGTGAGAATGTGGCATGTCAAGATGGCAGTCATATGGGAGTCAGTCACAAATGACAAAACTATGAACACTATTGATCTAGTCTTATTGGTCAACAATGGAGAATGCCATTCATGGATGGTGGTTTATCTTACCGTGGATCTTCAAAGCGCACAAAGGCAAAGGGAATAGTGCCTCTGTTATTCTTCAACTCAACGTCTCGGATTTTGCCATATTTGAAGAATATATCCTCAATATCCCGCTCTTGCACATCAGCCGGAAGGTTCCCCACGTAGATCCTGCCATCTGCCATGATGTTACCAGAACTGATCCTGATTGGAGGGGAAAGAGAACGTTAGCAATACTGAACACTCCCTGAACTAAAATAATGTTTCCCCCCCCCTCATTCCTGCCATTCATAATGTCCAAACAAAGGTTAACACTTCGTACAACCCCTACAAGTCAAATGTATCAAGACTGCATAGACAAACTCAAATACCGAGTTGGGTACTTATTAACCAAACCCCAACGCACGCCCAACGGTTCAACCACCAGGTGAGACGAAATCCCAGCAGGCTCAGTTAGATAGCTAGCTACCTACGCTAAAGTTAGCTTAACTATTCATGGGATATTTCCTTTCAAAACGGGATAACATGGCTGGGGGCGGGACAGTAGTTAGCTAACTAGGTAGCTTGTTAATATATTTCAAACAGAAAAATACCTTGCATATCGACTCGTAGTAGCTACCTACCTTCCCTGGATTGCCAAACTGTGCTCACCTTTATTCCAGGTTTGCCCATTCATTCAGTACCTAGCCACCAAGTTGTCGACAACCATTAGTTAGCTAGCTAGTAGCTAACGTTAGCTTGCTAGATAACAAGTTAGCCTTGCTGACTCGTGTGTCATATTTTGTGTTTGCAGAAGAGCTCATGATAGCTCGCCTACCTTCCTGTGTCGCTGACCAGACCTGCAACCCTTGTGGTTGCTGTGGTTATTTTCAAAAACTCGTATAATGCTATTTTTTGCTTATCTCCGGAGAACGGTAGCCTCAAACCTCTCTCGGTGGATCTCTATGCTGCTTTAAGCTAGCTAGGCTAGCCAGTTTCCTCCAATGACTTCCGGTTCCGTCAAAAGGTTCCTACCATATCCACCAGGTGGCGCCCCTGCACACAAAAACCTTTCATCCCCACATCCACAAATTGCATGTCATGTTTTGCATGTCGAACAGTACCAAACTAAAATGTGAGATATTTTGGTTTTTTCCTTTGTTTCTTGAGGGTCTGTCATGCCATAAAAGTGTCCGCCAGCCAATTTGTGTGTGTGTGTCAGGCCCCTTGAAAAGTCTCAGGCCATTTAGTGTGTTCATGCAGTGGGAGGAGGGGTTGGTTCGTTGGCAGAGAGCAATGGCTAGCTAGTATGGTAACTATTCTAGCTAAGTAACTGGCTGAATAAGTTGACGAGGTACCCACCCAAACTGTCAAAACTAACCCAAAACTTTACACAACGTTAGACACGGACACGAATGATCTGCTTGGCGTGTTAACACACTGGTGGTTTGTTGTAATCGAGTATTGGTGCTAACCTTGTTATTGGAGGCTGGCATGCTAGTTGGCTATGGCGTCATAGGATTCGGTGCTCTGGACGGTTTTCACGGAAGAATACGGTACCAAGTTAGCTAGCTGAATAAACTAAGTTAGAGTCTATTCCTAGAAAACATTGAACCGCTGTAGTTTACAACAATTATAATTTCTAAAGTGGAAGTTGGGAGAGTTATATTTGAGTGTTTCAGTGAAATGTAAGTGAGGGAGGCCCCGCTCTCTCACTTTCCCAGATGTTTAGTTCATTTCATTCCGATCTCCTTTGCATTATTGTAGCCTTTTTCTGTAGCCTGTCAACTATGTGTCTGTCTATCCCTGTTCTCTCCTCTCAGCACAGGCCATACAAACGCTTCACACCACGTGGCTGTTGCCACTCTAATCTGGTGGTCCCTGCGCGCACGACCCACGTGGAGTTCCAGGTCTCTGGGAGCCTCTGGAACTGCCATTCTGTGGCCAACAAGGCAGAGTTCATCTTAGTCTATGCTACCCTCCAGTCCCTCGACTTCTTGGCGCTGACGGAAATATGGATTACTACAGAAAACACTGCTACTCCCACTGCTCTTTCCTCATCTGACCATGTGTTCTCGCATACCCCGAGAGCATCTGGTCAGCGCGGCGGTGGCACAGGAATCCTCATCTCTCCCAAGTGGACATTCTCTCTTTTTCCCCTGACCCATCTGTCTATCTCCTCATTTGAATTCCATGCTGTCACAGTCACTAGCCCATTCCAGCTTAACATTCTTGTCATTTATCGCCCTCCAGGTTCCCTTGGAGAGTTAATCAATGAGCTTGACGCCTTGATAAGTTCCTTTCCTGAGGATGGCTCACCCCTCACAGTTCTGGGTGACTTTAACCTCCCTACGTCTGCCTTTGACTCATTTCTCTCTGCCGCCTCCTTTCCACTCCTTTCCTCTTTTGACCTCACCCTCTCACCATCCGCCCCTACTCACAAGGCAGGCAATACGCTTGACCTCATCTTTACTAGATGCTGTTCTTCTACTAATCTCACTGCAACTCCCCTCCAAGTCTCCGACCACTACTTTGTATCCTTTTCTCTCTCGCTCTCCTCCAACACTACTCACTCCGCCCCTACTCAGATGGTCATGTGCCGTCGCAACCTTCGCTCTCTCTCTCTCTCTCTCTCTCTCTCGCTAATCTCTCTTCCATCCTATCATCTCTTCCCTCTGCTAAATCCTTCTCCCTCCGATCTCCTGATTCTGCCTCCTCAACCCTCCTCTCCTCCCTTTCTGCATCTTTTGACTCTCTATGTCCCCTATCCTCCCTGCCGGCTCGGTCCTCCCCTCCTGCTCCATGGCTTGACGACTCATTGCGAGCTCATAGAAGAGGGCTCCGGGCAGCCGAGCGGAAATGGAGGAAAACTAGACTCCCTGCGGACCTGTCATCTTTTCACTCCCTCCTCTCTACATTCTCTTCCTCTGTTTCCGCTGCCAAAGCCACTTTCTACCACTCTAAATTTCAAGCCTCTGCCTCTAACCCTAGGAAGCTCTTTGCCACCTTCTCCTCCCTGCTGAATCCTACTCCTCCTCCCTCCTCCCTCTCTGTGGATGACTTCGTCAACCATTTTGAAAAGAAGGTTGATGACATCCAATCCTCATTTATTAAGTCAACTGACACCGCTGGTCCTGCTCACACTGCCCTACCCTATGCTTTGACTTCTTTCTCCCCTCTCTCTCCAGATGAAATGTTGAGACTTGTGACGGCCGGCCGCCTAACAACCTGCCCACTTGACCCTATCCCCTCCTCTCTTCTCCAGACCATTTCCGGAGACCTTCTCCCTTACCTCACCTCGCTCATCAACTCATCCTTGACCGCTGGCCATGTCCCTTCCGTCTTCAAGAGAGCGAGAGTTGCACCCCTCCTCAAAGAACCTACACTCGATCCCTCCGATGTCAACAACTACAGACCAGTATCCCTTCTTTCTTTTCTCTCCAAAACTCTTGAGCTAGCCAACTCTCCTGCTATCTCTCTCATAATGACCTTCTTGATCCAAACCAGTCAGATTTCAAGACTGGTCATTCAACTGAGACTGCTCTTCTCTGTGTTACGGAGGCTCTTCTGCTCTTCTCTGTGTTACGGAGGCTCTCCGCACTGCTAAAGCTAACTCTCTCTCTGCTCTTATCCTTCTAGACCTATCCGCTGCCTTTGATACTGTGAACCATCAGATCCTTCTCTCCACCCTCTCCGAGTTGGGCATCTCCGGCGCTGCTCACTCTTGGATTGCGTCCTACCTGACAGGTCGCTCCTACCAGGTGGCGTGGCGAGAATCTGTCTCCGCACCACGTGCTCTCACCACTGGTGTCCCCCAGGGCTCAATTCTAGGCCCTCTCCTATTCCCTCTATACACCAAGTCACTTGGCTCTGTCATATCCTCACATGGTCTCTCCTATCATTGCTACGCAGACGACACACAATTCATTTTCTCCTTTCCCCCTTCTGATAACCAGGTGGCGAATCGCATCTCTGCATGTCTGGCAGACATATCAGTGTGGATGTCGGATCACCACCTCAAGCTGAATCTCGGCAAGACGGAGCTGCTCTTCCTCCCAGGGAAGGACTGCCCGCTCCATGATCTTGCCATCACGGTTGACAACTCCATTGTGTCCTCCTCCCAGAGTGCAAAGAATCTTGGCGTGACCCTGGACAACACCCTGTCATTCTCCGCTAACATCAAAGCGGTGACTCGATCCTACAGGTTCATGCTCTACAACATTGGCAGAGTACGACCCTACCTTACACAGAAAGCAGCACAGGTCCTAATCCAGGCACTTCTCATCTCCTGTCTGGATTACTGCAACTCGCTGTTGGCTGGGCTCCCTGCCTGTGCCATTAAACCCGTACAACTTATCCAGAACGCTGCAGCCCGTCTGGTGTTCAACCTTCCCAAGTTCTCTCATGTCACCCCGCTCCTCCGCACACTCCACTGGCTTCCAGTTGAGGCTCGCATCTACTACAAGACCATGGTGCTTGCCTACGGAGCTGTGAGGGGAACGGCACCTCCTTACCTTCAGGCTCTGATCAGACCTTATACCCAAAACGAGGGCACTACGTTCATCCACCTCTGGCCTGCTAGCTCCCCTACCTCTACGGGAGCACAGTTCCCGCTCAGCCCAGTCAAAGCTATTTGCTGCTCTGGCACCCCAATGGTGGAACAAGCTCCCCCACGACGCCAGGACAGCAGAGTCACTGACCACCTTCTGGAGACACTTGAAACCCTACCTCTTTAAGGAATACCTGGAATAGTATAAAGTAATCCTTCTACCCCCCCCCCCCCCCCCCCCAACAAAAAAAAAAAAAAGTGGTTGTCCCACTGGCTATCATAAGTTGAATGCACCAATTTGTAAGTTGCTCTGGATAAGAGTGTCTGCTAAATGATGTAAATGTAAATATAGGCTCCCTAGTTGACTGTTGTAGCATAAGTATGCAATACGTATATTTTTGGTATACCTTCACAAAAGGCCTTTTTTGTTAAATTTGAGCACCTTATACCTTGACTGTACCTGAACTCATATATATGGCTGAAAATATAAACACCCAAGCGCTCTCTGTTCATTACAGAAATTAGAATGACAAAGAATTCTGCCTCAAGGCACATCTGTAATGTAAAATGTCTTTGTATTTTACTAACAGGACATCAGAAGGGAAAGGTGTCCTCACAGACTTAGTGAGAGAATATGCTAAGCTTCATGGGTTGGCACAGGTAACAACTAGCACTAAACACATACTTTGCATTCGGAAAGTATTCAGACCCCTTGACTTTTTCCACATTTTGTTACATTACAACCTTATTCTAACATTTACTAAATATGTTTTTCCCCTCATCAATCTACACACAATACCCCATAATGACAAAGCGAAGACAGGTTATTATAATTTTTTGCACATTTCTACAAAATCAAAAACAGAAATACCTTATTTACATAAGCATTCAGATCCTTTGCTATGAAACTCGAAATGGAGCTCTGGTGCATCCTGTTTCCATTGATCATCCTTGAGATGTTTCTACAACTTGATTGGAGTCCACCTGTGGTAAATTCAATTAATTGGACATGATTTGGAAAGGCACACGCCTGTCTATATAAGGTCCCACAGTTGACAGTGCATGTCAGAGCAAAAACCAAGCCATGAGGTCGAAGGAACTGTCCGTAGAGCTCCAAGACAGGATTGTGTCAAGGCACAGATCTGGGGAAGGGTACCAAAAAATGTCTGCAGCATTGAAGGTCCCAAGAACACAGTGGCCTCCATCATTATTAAATGGAAGAAGTTTGGAGCCACCAAGACTCTTCCTAGAGTTGGCCGCCTGGCCAAACTGAGCAATCGGGGGAGAAAGGCCTTCGTCAGGGAGGTGACCAAGAACCCAATGATCACTCTGACAGAGCTCCAGAGTTCATGTGTGGAGATGGGAGAACCTTCCAGAAGGACAACCATCTCTGCAGCACTCCACCAATCAGGCATTTATGGTAGAGTGGAAAACAAGATTCTCTGGTCTGATGAAACCAAGATTCAACTCTTCGGCCTGAATGCCAAGCGTCACGTCTGGAGGAAACCTGTCCATCCCTACGATGAAGCATGGTGGTGGCAGCATCATGCTGTGGGGATGTTTTTCAGAAGCAGGGACTGGGAGACTAGTCAGGATCGAGGGAAAGATGAACGGAGCAAAGTACAGAGAGATCCTTGATGAAAAACCTGCTCCAGAGCGCTCAGGACCTCAGACTGGGGCGAAGGTTCATCTTCCAACAGGACAACGACCTTAAGCACACAGCCAAGACAACACAGGAGTGGCTTTGGGACAAGTCTCTGAATGTCCTTGAGTGGCCCAGCCAGAGCCAGACTTGAACCAGATGGAACATCTCTGGAGAGACCTGCAAATAGCTGTGCAGCGATGCTCCCCATTCAACCTGACAGAGCTTGAGGAACTGCAGAGAAGAATGGGAGAAACTCCCCACATACAGATGTGCCAAGCTTGTAGCGTGATACCCAAGAAGACTCAAGGCTGAAATCACTGTCAAAGGTGCTTCAACAAAGTACTGAGTAAAGGGTCTGAATACTTAGGTAAATGTGATATCTGTTTTTTATTTTTAATAAATTTGCAAACATTTCTAAAAACCAGTTTTTGCTATGTCATGGGGTATTGTGTACATTGATGAGGAAATAAAACAATGTAATCAATTTTAGAATAAGGCTGTAACGTAACAAAATGTGGAAAAAGTCAAGGGGTCTGAATACTTTCCGAATGCACTGCACTTCTCAGAAGTGTCTGAACAGCTTTCAATACCACTTACCTCAGCTGACATGGCAAACATCAGTTCTGACTCATTAGAATTACATTAGTAAAATGCACAGAGGTCATTGACCCCTGGAGTTGTCCACAGATGCAGAAATAAAATAGGCTATACTGGAGAACATAGAAGTAACTACTTCCACTGGTTACAGTTTGTACTAGAGAACATAAGGGTGAATAACTTTGTGTAGTCTGAGATGTGATGTCTGAAAGCCATATGGTTCAACTTCTGACATGTTATCGTTTTGGGAAAGGTGAGGCAGGGTGTGTCTATTGGTATTGCTGTTAAAATTCCCTCTGCACTCACCTATGTCTGACATATCACAAGATACCTGCAACTGTTAGTCATTATCAGTATCATCTGGGCCTGGGTTTTCCCAAGACTGGGTTTCATCTACAATGACATTAGGTTTCTCTTTCTGGTGTCTGACATACAGTATCTGTGTGAATGATAGGGGCAAGTCATTGGGCTACTTTATTTCATTGGGTTTAGGCACGTCCTCCGTTCTAAATCGTAACTCAACAATAACAAAATAACTATTTATTGCACTCAACTTTCTACAAATAGCAGCATACTACGTCATTATTATCCGAGAATAGAAACCGAAAGGGGCGGGAGACAGAGCGGGAAAACGAATCTTAATTTGAGGGGCGGGGCAGATCAGCCGTTATATACCAGGCTCAGCTGTACACTGTGACAGCTGTCTCAATCTTAAATCGGTAAAAGTTGTTTTTGTCAACGTACCGATTTCTCAAAACTATTTGTTGAAACAGTTTGCAACACTTCACAATAAGGACATCTCAACAATATCTACTGAAAAGGTAAGTCATTTTTTCATCATTAGGCTATAATACTTTATATAACTCTGCTGTTAAAGATAAACAGCTATCAAGTAATTATCTTACACATTATTTTAGTTATTACAATGGGCTGTAGGTTAATATAAAAGGTTATCATGAATTGTATAAATTGTCATGAGCATGTATTATTATATTATATATTATATCATGTATGATAATACCCACTTATGTCTGTCAATCATCTCAAAATGATTATCACTAAATACCAGCCATTTGAGTGAGCAGAAATGTTGATAGAGAGGGGACATTACATATTGAAAACCTTATAAGACAAAGTATCATACGTGCTTTTAACAAGTTATAAAGTATTATACCTGCAGGCTTTTAGTAAAGTGTTACTAGACGAATTCATTCAAATCATTCAATTGAGCTATGCGATTGGAAGGCCAGATAAATAATATATTCAATCCTCTTTCAGATATCTATCATGGAACTCACTATAACACTTTTGAATGGCGACTCATATCCCCTGATGGTTGAGCCACACACCACTCTGGGGTCTCTCAAGAGTCGGATCAACCAACTCTTAAGAGTGCCCACAGAAAGGCAGAGGCTGTCAGGTGTCAATGGGAACAACATCAGTCTCAGCGATGATTCAAAAACTTTGAGCGACTATGGCCTGCATTCAGGATCCAAAGTGATGGTGCTGATTACAGAACCCACTCATATCCAGGTGTTCCTGAAAAACGAAAAGGGCCAGACACACACATATGAGGTGGTGCCGGGTGAGACCGTAATCCAGTTCAAAGACAAGGTCCAAAACAAGGAGGGAGTCCAAGCCAACCAACAGAGGCTGATTCACGAGGGCAGGCAGCTCGATGATGGCAAGAAACTGGAAGACTATGGCGTCAGAAATCTAAGCACCATCCACCTGACGCTCCGTCTAAGGGGAGGCTGAAGACACCCAGTATCGACCTGAAACGACCAGTCACCTGAAGCGCTTAACTTATTATGCATTCCATGTCTATAGAGAAAAAGCAATCTAGGCAAAAAATTATTAGTGTTATAACATTTGTATTCAATTGTAAACTTTTAAATTAACTATGGCTGATATTGGCTTATGTTAAAACAATGTAAATGAGATTGTAATAAAGTGATAACCAAGTATAAAACTCAGTCTACCATCGTTTTCATGGCTCCAACTCAAAACAAAAGATAAAGCAACATAAGGTAATGGACTGGTTATTGTTTTCATTTATAAAATAGGGTTAAATCAAATACATCAGGATGTAAAATATTATGGCAGTTTCAGTCTGATGTGCTGTTGCTCCCTTATATGACCTGATAGAGACAGAGAGAGCAGTAACATTTACAGTTGAGTTGAGACTCAAACTAAACTAAAGGCAGTCCACATGAGGAAACTACAGGCCAGCCTTGTCAGCAATATACACAATGCTTCATGGCCTGATACATCTTAACATTGCATATTCAGATGGTGTTAAATGAGTTGCATTCAAGGTTGAAACAGTCACTGATATTAATTTCCTTCAGCACATTTGCTTCATCTTAAATTATAGTATACATTTTTATCTATCAATGCATATTCAGATGGTGTTAAATTAGTTGCATTCAAGGTTGAAACAGTCACTGATATTAATTTCCTTCAGCACATTTGCTTCATCTTAAATTATAGTATACATTTTTATCTATCAAGAATAGGTAACATGTATTTACCATTGTTACAAACCAAAACACCTTGGCACAAAACGACTCAAGTATTTCAATTAATTTAAGATCTTAAATATCAGTAGTAACAATTAACATTGAACATCTCAGTTATGTTATTCTCCATGTAAGCAACACATTAGATGCGTTACGATTTCCTTAGTGTAGTACTTTTGTAGTTTGTGAGTGACGTTCTACACATCACCCCAGTTAATTTGCCTGGTTGTACCAGCTTGCTGCACTGGCATTCACAGGCCTGTCCTTGTAACGTTCTGCAGCTCCTGAGGCACACCCTGTGCCCTCTTCATTCAGTAATCAGGGAGAAGATCTTGGGAGTCTTCACTTCCTCACAGACGCAAGGTAAGCATACCAAAATAAGGCCACCATGTTGGCAAACAGTACTCGAAACTGAAAACACAACAACACAGATTGGTAACAGAGCACCACTGTCAAATAGCCTACATTCCAGATGAATGCATAAAAGAAAAGCCAGTGAGAACTGCTCACCTCTACAGCCACATAGTTGATGTTGATGAACTGGAAGGGGGTCCACACTTTCCAGTTCATCTTCAAGGCAGGCCAATAACTACTATTCACTTTGCTCTGGAAGTCTGCCCAGCTCTTACCCTAAAATAGCATTGGAATGGATGAAAATGAATGTACAGGCATGGCAATAGTCTGGATTGGAACGTAATTATAACCACTTATGAAAATTAACTGTGAGTAGTACTGCATAATTTCACTAGGGCCAACCTTAACTGAGACTAATAAGTAGTCCCTGCTTAAAGTTTGAGCTACACAGAGTAATCCCAATTTTTATATGAGAAGGTGCTATCTGATCCAAGCAGTGAGAGTTAGTCAGTAATAATGGACTAAAGGAGCCTAACGTTACTGCTTATAGTCCAAGGACCTTACATGTTCTGTTTAGAGGCGAATTGGCTCTGGCAGCCAAAACAGCCAAATACTCTTAACGTGAATCGATTCTCAATTGCGGTACGGTTCTAAACTTAAAGCCCTCTACTTTCATATTACATCAAAATAATTTTACAAATGCAAAATATACACTTACTGTACACTGTTTTAACCGGTTTTAACACAGTTGCAGCCGACACGATTTTTCCAGTGACATCACGTTTGTGGCATCCATCTTCCGTTTACACACAGGTGTTAGGAGAAGCAGATAGCTAATTTGCACAGGTAGTCGACTGTATTGCGTCTGTTTTCCATAAACAAACGCTGTAACATGTGAATATGGCCGCGTGGGAACCCTTACTCTATAAAGTTGTGTAGTAATTTAACCTTTTGTTTTTTGAAAATTATTTCTCGCTGATATGAAAGATATTTCTTATATTTTCCAAAACTGAACGTTCCCCCGGCCAAAATAAACGATCGTCAATAGGCGCTAAAGTCAGTATCGCAGGGTTCTTCAATTCCGGTCCTGGAGGGTCGAAACACCTCTGGTGGCAGGGGCTAATTCAGACCTGGGACACCAGGTGAGTGCAATTAACTACCAGGTAGAAATAAAAAACAGAAGTGTTTCGGCCCTCCAGGACCGGAATTGAAGAACCCTGCAGTAGCGTCTATGGATGGGCTAGTCAGGTGTATGGCGCAAGAGAGTCCATATTGGAGAAGCTGATTTACCTCCAGGATGTTCATAACAAAGAAGAAAAGCAGGAGGAATGCAGGGGCGAAGATAAGGCGATCCAAGAACAAGCGTTTCACCATGCAGTATGGAACAGTGGTAGGCATCAACACCTCCATGAGTTGGTAAAAGTAATGGCTCACAGGCCCAGTAATGAGCAACCTGATTCAACAAAGGGAAATAACAATAGGTTGTGTTGATTATACAGTACATTGCAATGGATTACATTGTAACAACAACAAAAACTAATTCAAGTGATTTGGACCTGACTTTAATCACATGCCTACCCATAAATGGCAAAGCGGGCAGGTCCTGAAATGTCAATCTCCTTCACTGGGGTCCCTTCTTTGGCCTTTCGTTTTGCTTCCAATGCTTGAGATATTAGATTTCCCATTGCTGAGAGAATGCCACTGAAGAAGATGAAGAGTTTATTTGTAGTCATGCCATGGTAGTGGTCAGAGTTTGAAGAAAGTGTTCTTTAAGTGTATTGAAACAATTTAACTATGACAGCAACTGTTGTCAGGAAAGATGAGGGAGGTTCTCAGAGCATATGCTGATTGGCTGAAAACAGACAGCAAAGTAGAAAGGTCTTGGCAAAAGGACATGTTTACCTTGCCTTGCCATAGTTTGCAAATTATCATGTAGCCCCATACCCTTACGAGTCTACCATTTACATTTTACATTCCACAAATTAGTTAATGGATTTCTGTATTAAGAGAGATCAGTAGTAATTGTTGTCACTTGTTAGGTGTTACACTAGCTATCTATAAGATAACCAGGAAGACCCCTACTAGCTAACTAGCTAGTTAGCTAGCTAATGATCACATTCTATTCAAACAATTTCAATAGGCTAGCTAACGTTAGCTATACTGACCTCGTTACGGATTTGGTAAGAATGGGGTAATTCTTCAGCAGAATCAAGTATTGATGTAGCAGTCGCACGTAGAGGGCAGAGTCTCGAATCGGTAAACTTTGTACAGGCATTGTCACGGTAGAAATGTTGCATTTGGACGATAAGTTTTGTGTTTGAAGGACCACCACCGCACAGATGTCTGCCCCTATCACAGATATGTTTGGCCAAGTGATGTATATAAACCCTGGATTGCTGATGCTATGTAATGGCCAATGAGAGGCTTTGAAGCCACTGGTCGGCCATATTGGCAGTCCCTAGAAGACGCAGTCCTCCATTGGAATGGATCGAATTCTACAATATTTTAATTAAATGTTTCAAGGACAAAATTACATGTATTTACGTTTTTTTTTAAAAAGCGGTCATAGTAACAATATAAAATCATACTTTAGGGAACTTTAAAATATTTTTTCATTTTTATGTTAAGCTTACATAATATAATGTAAAAACATGCATTAAGTTGTCGATAATAGAATATACGTGGGGAAAAAAAATACATTTCTATAGCGTCCAAAAAACAGCACCCCGTGTCAGTCATCTAGTGTATATATAAATCATTGGTCTGGCCCTATAGTCATTGGTCTGGACAGTGGCCACTCAAGGTCTGGAACGAAACGTGACAGTGGGCGGATTCGATTATGCTGAGCCGCGGGGCAACCGTGTACGGCACGTGACAGTTAACGAGCAAAAGCGGTGAGGGAGGAGTGCCCTTCTCATATCGAACAGTAATCTGCACTGCTCGGCCATTTTGTCAACAAGGCAGCATGGTGCATCATCCAGAAACATACAGTGCATCTCTTTTCCATAATATACATGTTTGAATTTTAAAACACGTGTTCATTGGGAAGCCAGATAAAGCAATGCCTTTTGCATGTGAAAACCGAATCCTACTCATTATTCCACGTGCTTTTTACGTCACTTTCTTTTTGGGTTCCAAAACGAATGCAATCAACTTTCACCGGCAACCGGGCAATTGAACCCCCCTCACCTCGTGCAGCACCTTAACCATGTCATCAACCTAGAGCAGCGTTTCCCAATCACGGTCCAGGGGATCCCAAAGGGTGCACGTTTTGGTTTTTGCCCTAGCACCACACAGCTGATAAAAAATTATCAAAGCTTGATGAATTGTTGATTATTTTAAAATCAGCTCTGTAGTGCTAGGGCTAAAACCAAAACGTTCACCCCTTGGGGTCCCCAGGACTGAGTTTGAGAGAACCTGACAGAGGCATCAACCTCAGAGAGGAAACGTAAAAAAAATAGGAATGTAAATAGATTGTTCATATTGATTACAGTATCACAAAACTGCCTTGGATAACTACGTGTATTTTTAAAGTAGAAAAGCACACTACAAAATGTACTAAAAAAACAAGAACAGAATAATGACATATTTACAAACCAGCCACATGTAGCTCAGGGGTTTCCCAAACTCGGTCCTGGGTTTTCCCAAAAAAACAGCTGATTCAAATAACCAACTCATCATCAAGCTTTGATTATTTGAATCAGCTGTGTAGTGCTTAGGCAAAAACCAAAACAGGCACCCAGAGGGGGGAGTTTGGGAAACCCTGACGTAGCTACTATGTGTTGACATACCAAAGTGATGCTTGTTGATGAGGTATTACTTAGCTTGAATGTAGATCAAATCCAATGACATTTTAAAGGGTGCAAACTGCAAACCAGAGTGAAAACTATAATCTGCCAGTAAAGGAATATAGTATGGCCTTATCCACTGCAGTAAACATTTTCACATATGTCACCCAGATACTTGATAACAAAAATGATACCGTAAGCTTATGGTTTGGTAACAGTAGTGATGAATCAAGTTAGTTGTATTTGGGAATCCACACCCTGAAAATAAGGCTGTGTGGGACATCTCAAAGTGCCTTCCAGTCTATGGGCTCTTTCCCTGATTTCTCCAGCAACTCATTGGTCTTGGAGAAGTGCTTGCATCCGAAGAACCCTCGATGAGCAGACAAAGGGGAGGGGTGTACAGTGTGGAGGACATGGTGACGTTTCTACAGAGGAAAAGACAAAAGATCGTTAAGCTGAGGTCAGTGGAATGTGTCAAGAATATAATTAATACAATATTACATTCATTTAACCAACCCTATCAATAGCTGCTCCCTTCTTCTGAGCATAGGCCCCCCACAGCATGAAGACGAGGCCCTCCAGGTTGGTGCTGAGCCACTGCACTACAGTGTCAGTGAAGGTTTCCCAGCCCTTGTCTTTGTGAGAGTTGGCCTGGTGCGCGCGGACGGTCAGCACAGCATTGAGCAACAAGACACCTGGAAAGAGAAGCATTACGCCAGTTGGCTCCTGATAACTGCACATCAAGGCATTGAAGTTCATCAGTGCCCAATCCATACTTCAATTTACTTGTTCTGAATATCGGCATGATCCTGAATAGTGCCTGCATTCATGACAGTCCTAAGATATTGCATCAGGAGTCTGATATTTATACTGTATTACCATTGCCCAAACTTGAACTGTACACGTCGGACTGCCTGATGCGCATGGTCTAAGGACTCTGCAAGAGAGCTATACGCTGTTGCTGAATCCTGGCATCAATCAGGCTTAGTCATCAGTGCCCACCTGACTTATACTTATGCGATCGGCACAATTGGCCCTATGTGCCTGGCATTATGACGAGTCTAAGGATATGCACAGGATGTACTCATTGATAGAGCATCGTTTCAACTGCCAGTTGTGGTTGATTCCAGGGGGCAAACTTAAAAGTATGATATGCAAATGTAATGCTTGGATAGAGCGTTTCTAAAGACTAAATAATGTAAAATGTACATTTGCTTTATGAGTAGTGCATGACCCTAGGGTGGCAACACATACATTCTAAGATATTTCAATGGGCATTCTCCATTCTGATTGATTTAAACAGTGTAAAACAAACTTCAACCCAAAATAATAAAGCATTTATCAATTTCTGCATTTCCTGCACTCATTTGAGATAATTTCCACACTGCCACGTAGGGCTGCATGATATGGGCAAAGAATCTAGACCTTATTTTTAACCAAATATTGCAATTGCGATTTGACTTGCGATTTAGATAAACACTTGAGGACTTATTGTGACAGGGTAAGAACCAACGTGTTGGTCAGTGTTTCCTAGGGGACCCTATAATCTTTGGCTACATTAAATGTTTTTTCGTAGCTACTTCTATTCATGCGGACGTGACATGGCGACAAATTCAAGAACCATTTGCTACTACAGCGGATGAAGGAGTGGAAAGAGTATGGAGATGTGGAAATGGACAGCGAGGAAGAAGGAAAGAAGTGGAGTGTAGAGGGAAGCGGTGTGGGGAGGAAGATTGACGTCATTACACAAAAAAAAAAAAAGTACTACGGTAGCTCAGAAATTGAAGCTGATGAGAGTGAGAATGAATTACCTGCGGTGGCAAATGTGGTGAAGACCGCCGAGGTCGAGCATTGTCCCGATGATGATAAAGATCATTGTAGCCCAGTGAGAGTGAGATTTTTAGAGAGAATGGATCCTTGTCTTCTGGCTGATCCATATGTGGTGTCAGGTTGGGTGGAGAAGAGTTTGGGGACTGTTGAATCTGTGAAAGTAACTCAAAGTGGACTCGATGTTTTTTTGTGTGTCGTCTGTCCAGAAGGACTGGGCGCTCCGCACCACGGGAAAATAACTGTGACTTGCTTTGCTCTCAGGGCGTCGCTAAAAGGAGTGATAAGTTGAGTCGCGTTAAGTGTTGAGGAGGACCAACTGAAATGGAAGATTCCTGGTGTCTGTGATGACCGCCTTTGGTGCGACGCAGACCCGGTGGAGAGCGTAGTGAAACAGAGAAGACACGATCTGTCCTGCTGAGTTTTGATGCATTCCTTACCTGACAAAGTCAAGTTAGGATGTGTCAGTTATCCTGTGAGAGCTTTTGTCCCGAACCCATCAGTGTTTTAGGTGCCAAGCTAATGATCATGTTGCAGCAGTGTGTAGGAGGGAGATTCCTAGAGAAGTGTGCAGGAGGGCATGAGACAAAGGAATGTGTAGTATCGGTGGAAAAAGCTGTGTGTGTTAATGTTTCTGGAGATCAGAAGTGTCTGGTGAGAGAAAGGCAGGTCGAGGTTGCCTGGGTCAGAGTAGTACAGAAGGTGCCTCCCGAGTGGCGCAGTGGTCTAAGGCACTGCATCGCAGTGCTAGCTGTGCCACTAGAGATCCTGGTTCGAATCCAGGCTCTGTCGTAGCCGGCCGCGACAGGGAGACCCATGGGGCGGCGCACAATTGGCCCAGCGTCGTCCAGGGTATGGGAGGGAATGGCCGGCAGGGATGTAGCTCAGTTGGTAGAGCATGGCGTTTGCAACGCCAAGGTTGTGGGTTCGATTCCCACGGGGGGCCAGTATGTAAAAAATCAAATACAAATATAATGTATGCACTCACTAACTAAGTCGCTCTGGATAAGAGCGTCTGCTAAATGACTAAAATGTAATGTAAATGTCGTGTGCTGAGGCTGTGAAGAGAGTTGTAGAGGAAGATGGGTCCAGGGCGAGTGATCCTAAGAGGTTCCCTGAGAGTAAGCTGAGGCCAATGGAGAGTAATAGAAATAACATCTGCTTCAGTAAGGTTGGCTTCTTAGCGTTCATAGCCATGGTTATCAACTGTACTGCAGAAATGGAACATAAATCACAGAATATAGATGTTGTGGTTGCAGCTGCAGAGAAGTACTTGGGTGTACAAGATTTTACTGCAGAGGATGTTACAAGGTGTGTTGAATGATAGTGTCCTGTCCTCCCAGGCTGTCGACCTGGTGTAGGATCAGATAGGGCCAAGTAGTGGAATAGTGATGAGGTTTTAATGGGTGTAGTGTTAGTTGGTAGGGCAATTTTTCTTCCCTTTTCCCCATACTTTTCCCCTTTCCTTTTTGTGTCAAAGTGTAATGAATTCACACTCCAGAACAGTAGGTGGAAACACAGGGCTAGATAAGAGAAATATATTAATGGGGAGGCCATAACCGGCTTCACAGTCCAGTACAGTAGGTGGCTGTGCACGCACCTTTCAGTTGGTTGCGATCCACCAATACAAATTGAAAGAAGAACATTCATGCTTCACATATAACTCTTTGATTTAGAAGATACTGTTGCACAAACAACATGCTGATTTAGGTCTACACCATCAATGGTATCAGGCTATATTAGCTAGCTACGTTTGCTCTGACTCAGTACATTTATTAGCTAGCTACCTAGCCAGCTAATTAGCTATTTGCATTAGAGGCTAAAATGATTTATTTTAGCCACAACTTGCTAAGAAGTTGCAGACATTAAGATACAAACTAATTGTGTAATTATAGAACGCTTGTGGAATATATTAAGAAGCAAAGTGGAAACCAGCATCATTATCATCTACATCTTGTCGCATGTGCAGCATTGACCATGCAGACTGAACGCAAACAACTGCACTCCTGGGGCCTCATGTATCAATCTTGCGTACGCACGAAAACACGGCGTACGCCAGCTTTCACGTTCACGGTCAGATGTACTAACAGTGAAATTAACGTAAGAATGTGCGTTCTTCCACGTAAACTTCAGGCCTGGCGTACGTACATTTTTGTGATGTTTGTCCGTTGGCGACTCATAGAGGCAATAAAGTGAAGTGGCAAACATTACACTACGAACTGTTCTATCGCACCTGCCAGATATTGCTTATAATTTGTAATTGATAAATGATTTGCCATATTATTGTCACACGAGTCTTATTAGAATATTCTATTAATTATGCAATTAAGTAAGAACATATATAAAGGATGTGAAAATTGATACAACCCGTCTAGCAATGGCAGCTTTGGCTTTATTAGAAGACATTTTCAATGGACAAATCCGGAGAGAACGAGTTTTTAGGGACCACGGTGATTTTCTGGCCCACGACGATGACTGGCTCATCAGCCGTTTCAGATTTCCAAGGGCTATACTCTTGGAGCTCTGCGCTGAGTTGGGTCCGAATTTGGAAAGAGAGACAGTGAGGAGCCAGTCATCACCTTTTCTGGGCCAGAAAATCACCGTGGTCCCTAAAAACTTGTTCTCTCCGGATTTGTCCATTGAAAATGTCTTCTAATAAAGCCAAAGCTGCCATTGCTAGACGGGTTGTATCAATTTTCACATCCTTTATACAGTGGGGAAAAAAAGTATTTAGTCAGCCACCAATTGTGCAAGTTCTCCCACTTAAAAAGATGAGAGAGGCCTGTAATTTTCATCATAGGTACACGTCAACTATGACAGACAAATTGAGGGAAAAAAATCCAGAAAATCCCATTGTAGGATTTTTTAATGAATTTATTTGCAAATTATGGTGGAAAATAAGTATTTGGTCACCTACAAACAAGCAAGATTTCTGGCTCTCACAGACCTGTAACTTCTTCTTTAAGAGGCTCCTCTGTCCTCCACTCGTTACCTGTATTAATGGCACCTGTTTGAACTTGTTATCAGTATAAAAGACACCTGTCCACAACCTCAAACAGTCACACTCCAAACTCCGCTAAGGCAAAGACCAAAGAGCTGTCAAAGGACACCAGAAACAAAATTGTAGACCTGCACCAGGCTGGGAAGACTGAATCTGCAATAGGTAAGCAGCTTGGTTTGAAGAAATCAACTGTGGGAGCAATTATTAGGAAATGGAAGACATACAAGACCACTGATAATCTCCCTCGATCGGGGGCTCCATGCAAGATCTCACCCTGTGGGGTCAAAATGATCACAAGAACGGTGAGCAAAAATCCCAGAACCACACGGGGGACCTAGTGAATGACCTGCAGAGAGCTGGGACCAAAGTAACAAAGCCTACCATCAGTAACACACTACGCCGCCAGGGACTCAAATCCTGCAGTGCAAGACGTGTCCCCCTGGTAAGCCAGTACATGTCCAGGCCCGTCTGAAGTTTGCTAGAGTGCATTTGGATGATCCAGAGAGTATTGGGAGAATGTCATATGGTCAGATGAAACCAAAATATAACTTTTTGGTAAAAACTCAACTCGTCGTGTTTGGAGGAAAAATAATGCCATACCTATCCAAAGAACACCATACCTACTGTGAAGCATGGGGGTGGAAAAATCATGCTTTGGGGCTGTTTTTCTGCAAAGGGACCAGGACGACTGATCCGTGTAAAGGAAAGAATGAATGGGGCCATGTATCGTGCGATTTTGAATGAAAACCTCCTTCCATCAGCAAGGGCATTGAAGATGAAACGTGGCTGGGTCTTTCAGCATGACAATGATCCTAAACACACCGCCCGGGCAACGAAGGAGTAGCTTCGTAAGAAGCATTTCAAGGTCCTGGAGTGGCCTAGCCAGTCTCCAGATCTCAACCCCATAGAAAATCTGTGGAGGGAGTTGAAAGTCCGTGTTGCCCAGCGACAGCCCCAAAACATCACTGCTCTAGAGGAGATCTGCATGGAGGAATGGACCAAAATACCAGCAACAGTGTGTGAAAACCTTGTGAAGACTTACAGAAAACGTTTGACCTGTGTCATTGCCAACAAAGGGTATATAACAAAGTATTGAGAAACTTTTTTTATTGACCAAATACTTATTTTCCACCATAATTTGCAAATAAATTCATTAAAAATCCTACAATGTGATTTTCTGGATTTTCTTTCCTCATTTTGTCTGTCATAGTTGACGTGTACCTATGATGAAAATGACAGGCCTCTCTCATCTTTTTAAGTGGGAGAACTTGCACAATTGGTGGCTGACTAAATACTTTTTTTCCCCACTGTATATGTTCTTACTTAATTGCATAATTAATAGAATATTCTAATAAGACTCGTGTGACAATAATATGGCAAATCATTCCTTTACAGGTGCTTACTACACTTGGTTTCCTAGCAACTGGTTCTTTCCAAAGAGAACTGGCAGACCGCTCAGGAATAAGCCAGTCGTGTTTGAGCCGTGCAATGCCACCTGTATGGGACGGCATCATCCGCTTGTCTACCAGGTATATAACGTTCCCATACGATGCAGGTGACCAGCCAAACATCAAAGCGCAATTTGCAGCGATAGCCGGTTTTCCTAATGTAATCGGAGCGATCGACTGCACACATATTGCTATAAAGGCGCCATCTGAAGACGAATTTGCATATGTGAATCGGAAACATTTCCATTCAATAAATGTGCAGATTATATGTGATGCACAAATGCGCCTAACAAATATTGTGGCAAGGTGGCCTGGTTCAACCCATGATTCATATATCCTTACAAACAGCATGGTTGGGATGAGACTCCAAGCTGGCAGGGTGCGTGATGGGTGGCTACTTGGTAAGTTATGCATTTAAATGTATGGTTCTATCTAAAAGTAAAATGTTTGTGTCTGTAATTATTATTACTGCCCATCAGGAGACAGTGGTTATCCACTAAAGACGTGGCTGTTAACCCCCCTCACCAACCCACAAACTGACCGAGAGCGCAGATACAATGATGCCCATTCCCGCACTCGGTCAGTTGTGGAGCGGGCGATTGGGCAGCTGAAATGTCGGTAGCGCTGCCTTGACAGGACCGGGGGGATGCTGTTATACCGCCCTGACAAGGTTTGCCGCATCATACTGGCCTGTGGAGTGCTGCACAATGTCGCGCACAGGCATGGCATACCCCTTGGTGAGGTGGGGGCACCGCCAGATGACCCTGACCCAGGACCAGTATATGTGCAGCACAATCAACAAGCCATTCAGGCCCGTCAACGTGTAATTGCGACAATATAAATGGTACTCACTGAGTACTACTCAGACACAAAGTTCATGACCAATTCTTTTAATGAATGGCTTATTTCTGTGAGTGCGTCAGTGACATTTTTAAGGTGACTGTTCATTTCTTCAATGGTCCTAACAATTTGTTGTTGTGACTCCAGAACAGCATGCGTCAAGACACGGCCAGATGGCCGGGCTTCAGCACTGGGGGGAACATTAGAGACACGGGAGACGCTGGACTGAATGGGCTCTGGCTGCTCAGGTGGTGCGGACTCTGAGTGCGTGCCAGTGGACGTTCCTGCGGTTCCTAAGTCCAATTAAACACAGGCACATCTTAACAGTAATTTGAGTCTGTTCCTTATTAATGGGTACACGCATTTGCAATAAAAGCAGTGGATACGTGAAATCTCTGGTGTACCTTTTGCTATATTGCATGCATTTTAAAATTAAACGGTGGCTGGCTATGTATATCAAAGTTAAGGAAATAAATCTGAGTCACCTTGCTGGCAGTCCTGTAGTATATCCGAGTCTCCTACATCAGCGGATACGATTCCAGAGATTAACGTGTCTCCTACAATAGAGGCAACTCTCTGATCAAAGGGTGCAAGTTCATCGGTCCCTGTACCACCGCCTGTTCTGCCCACACTTTGTCGGTGCGCAGCAGTTCTCCGCTTAACTTCCACCTTTATGTCTGACCATTTCTTCTTCAGTTCATTTACGGTGCGACTCTCAGATCCCACCGCGTTGATGGCATCAGACAAACTCGCCCACTCTTTTTTCTTTCTTTTGTTATTAATTCCAGAGGACAGATTTCCAAATAAAATATTTTTTCTTGTTTCTACCTCTGATAGTAACACCTCTAATTCGTTTTCAGTGAAATTTCGTTTCTTGCTTGCTTTAGCCATGTTCTTGCAGGTTTCTTTTGCCAAATTGGACTAATTACCATATTTAAATTGATTTAATTGAGGGAGGAGACAGGGTGTGGTGTGGTGCTCGTGCATGAGCGCTCAATTTCGCGTTGATTGGGATGTACAAAGAGAATGTATGTGGAATGCTGCGTACGCAGAGATTCATACATCAGATTTTTTTGGTGCGTACGCACATTTATGGCTTTGTCCGTACGCAATGTTTTAGTATGAATTCAACGCAAGTCTTTGTACATGAGGCCCCTGGAGTGACAGGGCAGGGCTTGGTTTGTGTGGAAAGCGGCATGAGAGAGAGTGGGAGAGGAGAAAGACGCTACACAAGGTGGAGTAGAGTATCACATTTCCACAAAAAACATTGAAACCCCCTAAAAGAAAATGATTTTCATATAACAAAATAACATTTAAATAACGTTATAGAAAGTAAAGTGAAATCCAAACTGGTCCGTGCATTAATACCGGTATATCGTAAAATACGGTATCCCTCCCAGCCATAGTCAAACTCAATTCCTCGAGGGCAGTGTCTCTGCTGGCTTTCTTTATTTCCTTTCAATTAGTGTCCACTTAAGACCTAGACAACCAGGCAAAGGGAGTTCCTAACTAATCAATGACTTTAACTGATCAGTAAAGTAGAAGGGAGGAGCGAAAACTTGCATACACTATGCCCTCGAGGACTGGAGTTAGACACGTGTGTTCTAGACTATTGTGCCTACAGTACCTTGTTTAGCCCATCCAGTCAGATCTCCATGTCCAGGGTGCTGGAAGCCCTCTATATCAGACGCCAATTCTTTATACATATTCACCAAGCTGAAAAAATAAGAGGCTCTACATTTGAGGATGTGGCAACTGTGTCAATGACATGAAAAACAAAATACAATACCGAATAAAAAGGCAAAAAAAGCTAACTGTCCTCCACACAGATACAAATGTACAGTGCCTTCAGAAAGTATTCACACCCCTTGACTTTCTCTACATTTTGTTGTGTTACAGCCTGAATTTAAATAAATGTAGATTTTTTTTACACTGGCCTACACAAAATACCCCATAATGCCAAAGTGGAATGATGTTTTTCGATTTATTAATTTTTTACAAATTAATTACAAATGAAAAGCTGAAATGTCTTGAGTCAATAAGTATTCAACTCCTTTGTTATGGCAAGCCTAAGTAAGTTCAGGAGTAGAAATGTGCTTAACAAGTCACATAATAAGTGAAATGGAATGTGTGCAATAATAGTGTTTAACATGATTTTTGAATGACTACCTCATCGCTGTATCCCACATACAATGACCTAAGGTCCCTCAGTCGAGCAGTGAATTTCAAACACAGATTCAACCACAAAGACCAGGGAGGTTTTCCAATGCCTCACAAATGGCACCTATTGGTAGATGGGTAAGAAGAAAAAACCCAGACATTGAATATCCCTCTGAGCATGGTGAAGTTATTAATTACACTTTGGATGGTGTATCAATCACAGGAGGTTGGTGTCACCTTAATTGGGGAGGACGGGCTCGTGGTAATGGCTGGAGTGGAATTAGTGGAATGGTATCAAATGCCATTCCACATTTACTCCATTCCAGCCATTATTATGAGTCATCCTCCCCTCAGCAGCCTCCACTGGTATCAATACACCCAGTCACTACAAAGATACAGGCGTCCTTCCTAACTCAGTTGCCGGAGAGGAAGGAAACCGCTCAAGGATTTCACCATGAGGCCAATGGTGACTTTAAAACAGTAACAGAGTTTAATGGCTGTGATAGGAAAAAACTGAGGATGGATCAACAACATTGTAGTTACTCCACAATACTAACCTAATTGACAGTGAAAATAAGTTAGCCTGCACAGAATAAAACATTTCCTAAAAATGTATCCTGTTTGCAATAAGGCACTAAAGTAAAACTGCAAAAATGGAAGAGGAAAGTGGAAGAACGTAAGGAACTTGTCTGTTGGCCTTGCATTAAAGAACACAATTGGTTAAAGAAAACTGTGATAAATAAAAAAGTATACCAGTTTCATTTAAGGACCAAAGGATTGACAGCCATCCCATATACAGTGGGGGGAAAAAGTATTTAGTCAGCCACCAATTGTGCAAGTTCTCCCACTTAAAAAGATGAGAGAGGCCTGTAATTTTCATCATAGGTACACGTCAACTATGACAAACAAAATGAGAAAAAAAAAATCACATTGTAGGATTTTTAATGAATTTATTTGCAAATTATGGTGGAAAATAAGTATTTGGTCAATAAAAAAAGTTTCTCAATACTTTGTTATATACCCTTTGTTGGCAATGACACAGGTCAAACGTTTTCTGTAAGTCTTCACAAGGTTTTCACACACTGTTGCTGGTATTTTGGCCCATTCCTCCATGCAGATCTCCTCTAGAGCAGTGATGTTTTGGGGCTGTCGCTGGGCAACACGGACTTTCAACTCCCTCCAAAGATTTTCTATGGGGTTGAGATCTGGAGACTGGCTAGGCCACTCCAGGACCTTGAAATGCTTCTTACGAAGCCACTCCTTCGTTGCCTGGGCGGTGTGTTTGGGATCATTGTCATGCTGAAAGACCCAGCCACGTTTCATCTTCAATGCCCTTGCTGATGGAAGGAGGTTTTCACTCAAAATCTCACGATACATGGGCCCATTCATTCTTTCCTTTACACAGATCAGTCGTCCTGGTCCCTTTGCAGAAAAACAGCCCCAAAGCATGATGTATCCACCCCCATGCTTCACAGTAGGTATGGTGTTCTTTGGATGCAACTCAGCATTCTTTGTCCTCCAAACACGACGAGTTGAGTTTTTACCAAAAAGTTCTATTTTAGTTTCATCTGACCATATGACATTCTCCCAATCCTCTTCTGGATCATCCAAATGCACTCTAGCAAACTTCAGACAGGCCTGGACATGTACGGGCTTAAGCAGGGGGACACGTCTTGCACTGCAGGATTTGAGTCCCTGGCAGCGTAGTGTGTTACTGATGGTAGGCTTTGTTACTTTGGTCCCAGCTCTCTGCAGGTCATTCACTAGGTCCCCCTGTGTGGTTCTGGGATTTTTGCTCACCGTTCTTGTGATCATTTTGACCCCACGGGGTGAGATCTTGCGTGGAGCCCCAGATTGAGGGAGATTATCAGTGGTCTTGTATGTCTTCCATTTCCTAATAATTGCTCCCACAGTTGATTTCTTCAAACCAAGCTGCTTACCTATTGCAGATTCAGTCTTCCCAGCCTGGTGCAGGTCTACAATTTTGTTTCTGGTGTCCTTTGACAGCTCTTTGGTATTGGCCATAGTGGAGTTTGGAGTGTGACTGTTTGAGGTTGTGGACAGGTGTCTTTTATACTGATAAGTTCAAACAGGTGCCATTAATACAGGTAACGAGTGGAGGACAGAGGAGCCTCTTAAAGAAGAAGTTACAGGTCTGTGAGAGCCAGAAATCTTGCTTGTTTGTAGGTGACCAAATACTTATTTTCCACCATAATTTGCAAATAAATTCATTAAAAATCCTACAATGTGATTTTCTGGATTTTTTCCCTCAATTTGTCTGTCATAGTTGACGTGTACCTATGATGAAAATTACAGGCCTCTCTCATCTTTTTAAGTGGGAGAACTTGCACAATTGGTGGCTGACTAAATCCACCGGCCAAATGAGGGTAGATTTTGGTATTGGCTTGTATGATGTCTATTTCATCAGCCACGTTGGCGGGTGGTCAGGGCTCAAAAGTGCGACCATTTCACTCACATTCATGAATAAAAATAGTCAAGTATGATCACATTTATAGTCAAATAAATGCTGCAGTAGCTGTCTTCAAAGTATTTCTGCTGTTTTGTTTCATAGCTGGTAAATTAAATCGCTCAAAGTCAAAGAACTACGAATCTTATATAGCCTATTCCACCTCACGCTGCAACACTGCCTGGCTGGGGACTGTGCGCACGTAAAGAGCTGAGTGAAAGATTCACTCAATCTGACAGGCACAAACATGACTTGAGCTACCACAGTAACCTCCCGCCCGGTAGGTGACATTTTTTGTCTCATCTGATATTTTGGTTAAAAGACTCAGGTCACAGGGCCTCCCGAGTGGCGCAGCGGTCGAAGGCACTGCATCGCAGTGTTTGAGGCGTCACTACAGACCCAGGTTTTATCCCAGGCTGTGTCACAACCGGCCGTGACCGGGAGTCCCATAGGGCGGCGCACAATTGTACGGGTTTGGCCGGGGGGGCTTTACTTGGCTCATCGTGCTCTAGCGACTCCTTGTGGTGGGCCGGGTGCCTGCAGGCTGACTTCAGTTGTCAGTTGAATGGGGTTTCCTCTGACACATTGGTGCAGCTGACTTCCGGGTTAAGCGGGCGGGTGTTAAGAAGCGCGGTTTGGCGGGTCAACTTTCAGAGGACTTGACCTTCACCTCTCCTGAGCCCATTGGGGAGTTGCAGTGATGAGATTGGATATCATGAAATTGGGGAGAAAAAGGGGGTAAAATAAAAACACTCAGGTCACAAAAAAGGAAATTAAACAATATACCACATTACTTCTTACTAGTAATGCATTTATCGTTTTAGAAACATGACAAACCATGCTCATAAGTTATTTTGTATTTTGTTGGTGTAAGTTTAACAGGGAAAAATATTTTGGCTGGTAAAAAATCTGACTGTCTGGAAAGTTTTTTAATCTACCTGCCACAGTGGCTGGTGGACCAAAATGTAAATGTTATGCCATGAACACAACACATCACTGAGTACCACTCTTCATATTTTCAAGCATGGTGGTGGCTGCATCATGTTATGGGTATGCTCGTCATCGACAAGGCCTAGGGAGTTTTAAATCAAAAGAAACGGAATAGAGCTAAGCACAGGCAAAATCCTAGAGGAAACCCTGGTTCAGTCTGCTTTCCTAAAACACAAGGCCAAATATACACTGGAGTTGCTTACCAAGACGACATTGAATGTTCCTGAATGGCCTAGTTACAGTTTTGACTTAAAATTGGCTTGAAAATCTATGACAGGGTTCTTCAATTCCGGTCCTGGAGGGCCGAAACTCTTCTGTTTTTTATTTCTTCCTGGTAGTTAATTGCACTCACCTGGTGTCCCAGGTCTGAATTAGCCCCTGATTTAGATGGAGAGGATAAAAAACAGGTGTTTCGGCCCTCCAGGACCGGAATTGAAGAACCCTGATCTATGGCAATACTTGAAAATGGCTGTCTTGCAATGATCAAAAACCAACTTGACAGAGCTTGAAGCATTTTACAAAGAATAATGTGAGAAAAAATAAGAAACCTGCACATTGTACAATCCAGGTGTGCAAAGCTCTTAGAGACTTAGCCAGAAAGACTCACAGCTGTAATCGCTGCCAAAGGTGATTCTAACATGTATTGACCCAGGAGGTTGAATACTTATCTAATCAAGATGTTTTATTTTTCATAATTTTTTTTTTACAGATGTTAGAATTTTTCTTCCACTTTGACATTCAAGTATTTTGTGTAGATCATTGACAAAAAAACGACAATTAAATCAATTTCTAAAGGTAATGTATGTATTACACCATACATTTTATTGCAGGAAACATATTCCCCTTGCCTGGATATGTTCAACATGGTCTACAACGTAATAATACTGTAGGCTACCTGGGTGGAGGTGGGATAGGTCTCTGCACACTGAAGCATAATCCATGGGCTTGGTTTGGACCGTGATATGGGTCCTGGCCGAGGACTACAACCTTGACCTGTACCAAGGAGAAATAGCGCTGATCATAATGGGAAGTGAAGTGGTTCTTCCCCCTGGAGCTAACTTGTACAGCCTAACCTTATGAGTTGGCTCATACTGTACATTACATTAATATGAAAAACTGTACATGTGCCATTGTTGTCAAAAACCTAAACTTACATCTTGGATGTCACACATCTGTGTCCAGGTGAAAACATGCTGAGGGGGTGGGTAGACAGTGTTCCGTTTCCTCTCTCCATCAACGAAGGACATCAACTGTAACAGTAAGAAGGAAGGGAATTAGATTATGCACATTTCTGATAACCTGTATGATGTAGCCATGTGTGTGTAGACTGTCATCTTACGTTTCTGAAATAAGGCTTTCCAAACTCAGAGCCCAAACCCTTTCGCCAACTCTCCCCAAATTCATCCGGTGCGTTACTGGCGCACAGTTTCTCCAGCGCTGCTTGCTTGTTTTTGCCGATTTGGGCCAGCTGTTCCGGAGTCAATGAAGAAGGGGGTGACGCCGTCGTTTCGTTGCCTGATGGCTTCAGCTTCTTCACCCGTCCAACCTTGGTATATTGAGCAAAGTGCAAGGTTGGTGAAACATGTGTGGCTGTTAATGGTGCAGTTAAAATCATTATTGCGGAACGTCTCAAATATGGTACATTCATTGCAAGCATTTTAGCTAGCTAGCTACATGTTCGAGATCCGCTATGAAACTCGAGCAACTTTATTAAACCCTGACGCCAGTGAGTGAACAAACCCCCTGTGATCGCTGATAGTGAAGATATCGCGGGATGTGTGTGTTACGGTCAAAGATGGTTTAGAATCATGGTTTGAAACCTGTTGTATGGTATTTTCAATGTTATCACATAAAATGTAACAATTTAATAAATGATTTAGTTAGTTAGCAAGCAAATTATTTTAATAACAGCGTCAAGACAACAAGGTACGTGCTGGTGAAACTCTATATAACCTGATTTCAATGTGTATACATGCAACTTTAGGTTAAACGTTGTAATTTACAGAATATTAGCTACATAAAATAGTTACATCATTGCCCGTTTGTACTCATGCAGCTCGCGTGCAAACAATGATATAAATGAATAGTGAGCTAATTCTCACGTGTTCTTGGGCATCCTCTCTCTCATGTTCCTCTACCAAAGCTCTCTTCTTCGAAATGGGCGAAAAAAAAGAATTTATAGTTTTCTGCCCTATCATTTTAGTAACCTTGATTAATTTGGTAGTAGTTGACTTAGAGTTTGCTTTCCTTATTGTTGAGCACCGCTAACACAGTCAAGCTTGTTTTGAACCACTGCTCTGTCCTCTCTGACAAAAAAATTCCCGCCAACTTGCGATGACGTATGGATGATGTGTATGCGTAGGGCCTTGGTCATAGTTTTGTTGGTGCTATCTAACCTGGTCTCAGAACATTTAGTATTATTCTGTAAGTAAATCCGAGATTTAATATGAAATGTATTCATTTGTGGATGTCCATCACCCATTTCGTATGATATGTTACGAATTACAATTCGTATTATTATTTTATTTTAATTTAATTTTATGTTATGAATTTGCAAAAAGTACAATATGTTATGTTAGCTAGGTTAGGGATTAGGGTTACATTTAGGAGTTAGGTTTAGGGTTAGGTGAAGGGTTAACTAAAATGGTTAAGTTTATGGGAAGGGTTAGCTAATATGCTAAGTAGTTGCAAAGTAGCAAAAAAGTAGTAAATAGTTAAAAAATTGCTAATTAGCTAAAATGCTAAAGATGTCCGTGATGAGAGGCGAACTCACAACCTTCGGGTTGTTAGACGTTCGCGTTATACGCCAACCCATTCACCACGACCAACCACCGTACTTTCGTTTTTGCCTTAAGTAACCATCTGTGTAATGTAACCATACCAAACGCAACATATCATACTCAATGGAGTGTCTCGAATTTACATAAAGAATAATACGAAATGCTCTGAGACCATGTTGCAACATCAGGGACGCTTGGGATGTCCCTACCCCATTGAAGTTGAGATTTAAAATGGTTATGGTAAGGGTTAAGGTTAGGGCATTGTTTCCCAAACTCGGTCCTGGGGACCCCAGGAGGTGCACATTTTGTTTTTTGCCCTAGCATTACACAGCTGATACAAATAATCAAAGTTTGATGATGAGTTGATTATTTGAATCAGCTGTGTAGTGCTATGGCAAAAAAAACCTACATATTCACCCCTTGGAGTCCCCAGGACCGAGTTTGGGAAACGCTGGGTTAGGGTAAGGGTTAGGGTTTAGGGGTAGGGACGTCCCGAGTATCCTGGATAGCACTGTCCATCATAGTATGCATTTTGTACCTGTTCATGTCAATGGTTATAGTTCAATGTTCGTACTTGAGATTAGCAAGGTATTGAACTGTAGTGGCCAAGTATAGAGATGTGTTGTAAACTTTCCACTCATGTATTTAGTAATTAATTATCCTATGCTATAAGTTTGTATCTGTAGGCCTATTCCTCCTGTTATCCGTACTCCTGTGTTCTCTTTTCATTCTATGTCTAGGACATTATTCCAATGACGTTTTCTCATGTGGGTGAGCACTGAGCAGGCAGGTGGCTGATGGATACATTTGTGAGTCAAACCAGGAAGCGCTATATTGATGGGAGAACAGATGAACAGAGAGAACCTGTGTGGAAAAAATGTAAAGGGGAAGAATGCAATCAGGGGATTGTAAAGGAGGATGCCTATTTGACTGAGTTCTCTCAGCCTCTTCCTTGGCAGAAGATTGAAGCAGAGGGACTGGACTGTGACTATGCTCTACTCTTTCGTAAAAAGGAAGCAGACTCCCTCTACACACAGCTGGAGGAGGAGGTAGTCTACCTCACAGGTATTCAATTGTCACACTCAATTCAGTGACAGTTCAGATACATTTTTTCTTGGTATGTAGATGAGCCATTCTTATTTTGTTACAGGGGATAAAACAAAGATTCAGGTGTTTGGAAAGGTCTACAATGTCCCCAGAAAGCAGGCAACTTATGGGGACGCAGGACTAACCTACACCTATTCTGGAATGAGTCTTCAGGCCAGCCCGTGGACTCCAACCTTGGAGTACATTCGTGATGCTGTTACAAAGGCAACAGGCCAAACCTTCAACTTCGTCCTGATTAACAGGTGAGTCAGTCTACACTGCTATAGAATATTCTACATCTACAGGGGTGTATTCATTACGTCTTGCAACGGAAACAGTTTACCGTTTAAGAACCAAACGGAAGCAAACAGAGCGAAACGAGCAGGGACCAACTTGAATTTGTCCAATAGAAACTGTAGTTTTCATTGCAAAACGTTTTCTGTTTGGAGTAAACGGTTTGTTGCAAAACGTTTTGCAACAGAATCGGTGTAATAAATACACTCCAGGACTGTGCGAGTGTGATTCCATTCTAGCTGCTCCTGGTTTTCTCAGGTACAAAGATGGACATGATCACATGGGTGAGCACCGTGATGATGAGCGGGAACTGGACCCCCTCTGTCCCATCGCCTCCGTATCTCTGGGGGCGGCCCGGGACTTTGTCTTCAGACACCGGGAAGCACGGGGAAAACAGTGCCGACGGCAGATCAACCCGGTGAAGCTGGAACTGGCCCATGGAAGCCTGCTCCTCATGAACTCTCCCACAAACACCCTATGGTACCACAGCCTGCCAGCCCGCAAGAGGGTCCTCACACCCCGCATCAACCTCACCTTCAGACGCATCCTCCAAGACGGCAAGAAATGAGGGTCAGACAAGGTCCGTTGGGAGTCTCACTTCATTGTGGCTGACGTCAGGGGGCGTACTGTCTAATCACTACGCCCACATCAGGGGTTGGGACCACTGCTATATTGATTAAACTAGTTTCTGAATGTATCTTTGTTCAAGGTCCAATTCATACAAATCAGTCATGTGGTAACTCTTTACTTATATATTTTTAATTTTCATAATTGTATCTATGAAAACAATCAACTTCTTGACAGATCTCACACACACACAAATCTTCAAAATATACATTAGTGCAAATTGATCAGAAAATGGGTATAGAGGGTTATTTAGAGGTTGCATCCTTTAATACTAGGAGGAGAGTGAGTAAATGGCAGTATTTACAACACAACTGGTATGCATGTTGAGCAATACTCACTCTTAGATTGTTTAGTCGTACACACTGTACAACCACAACTTTAAATACTTTGGCAAATTTGTTACATTTCTATCAATTCCAATTTCGCTGCTCTATAAACAGTTGTAAAACTATCACGTTGCTTCAATATCATTTAGGAACAAAAATAACAATCTACACATTGGCTTGATACCATGAGATCTTGTGCAACAACTGCAGAAATTATTCTACACAAAGGTACCTAGTCTGCAGACACGTGCAGCTAGACTACAATCCAAACCACCTGCATGCTATTAAAGTATTCTGAATCATTTGTTAAAGTAGAAAAATAAAATATACAGCAGCTTATATACAATGTCAATTGAAACGTTGCATTATTTTAAATAGACCTACATTTGACATTTTACAATATAATGAGTGATTATTTCCAGACTGAAATGGCTGAAGACAGTGATTACATATCACGTACCTCCACTGACACATTTCATAATCTAGTAACACCCATTAAGCCTAAAATGTCTTGGTTGAAGTAACTCAAATCTTTTGTGAAAAGACTACCAGCCATTCTGAGATGTTTTTGAGAACCGTCCAATCTCTGGGATCTAAAAGGCAGTGCCTCCTAAATCGCCGTAAAAGACGAGGGGGACATTCATGATTTTAATATGACAGATCAAAGTAGAGCAGCATAATCTTCAGTACTGTTAAAGCACAATCCTACAGGTAAACCATTGGGCCTGGAGAACTACACTTCTGAGGGGTGTTTTCTGTGGCGGTATGGGTTGGCAGGGGAGTGGGTGTCCAGTCTGGCTCATTGCTCCAGGGCTCTACTCCTCCAACAGTAGACGGAGCCGTCTCACCCGCTCATAGAAGAGTAGGTAGGCGTTGGATGACAGCACCTCCTGCAAACTGGCCTTGCGTACGGAGTCATCTGAAACCCACAGCCACTGGGAGCTGAATGGAGAGGAGCTGCGGGGCGAGGGAGGGCAGCGGCGGTACGTGACAAAGTGTCCTGAGTGCATGTCACCATGGTGAACCAACACAGCCATCAGTTGAAATAGGTATTCTGAGGAGCTGTGGAGAGACATGGTGTATTCAACAGTGTTATCAGAGTACACACTATAATTCCAAGAGAATTTATCTGATTTTGTAATATTGCGTCTTCTCTTTATTGATATGAAAAGGCTGTTTAAGATGATCAGGTTTTGTTTACCTGTAGTCATATGTGAGGTTGACCTGTGGGTTCAACCCAGGAGAATGGAGAAAGACAGACGAACATGTTCCATTGGACAGAGGCTTGTTGTTGTTATGGTGTTCTACATCTGAAAATAAGTAGAATACAGTATGATCTTACTGTTGTACAAGGCCTTTCATGGGTCTGTAAAACAACAATTACATTATGAGAGTAATCTGGAGTATTTCTGTTCTTTTAACAAATCCCAAACCATCTATGGCCAATTTCCAACAACCTGATAAGAACAATCATGACAGTTCTGAGTCCTCTCAAGCTGAAAGAAAGTCATAATAAGTCTTAAGACAAGCCATTTAGTCCCAGGAAGACAATTTTCAAGTGCTTTCACCGTACCTTTGCCATTGGGAGTGGTCTTATCTGCAGCCTCTCTTGAGTCCTCTGCTTTAATGGTTTTGGGAGTACAGTTGATGTGCTGGAGCCTCTGAATGGTTGCGCGGTGTTTGTAGCGGTCCATAGACAGGTACTCTGAGATCTGGACATGTTCCTGTCTCTTTATGGGCATACCCTCATTAGACCACGTCAGTCTCTGCAGGTGAATACAGAGACACTGGGGGAGCTGGAGGGAGGAGTCACACAAACACACATCGTCATATACCTGTATACAGTATGTCACATAACTGAGGACAAGGATGATATGCTGAAGCCAGACACATAAATGCATCTGATAGTGATGTGTGCAGGGGGATACCAGTAAAGCAGTGAAACCATTTAGTACACAGCAATTGTTTCACATATCATCAAGTAGGTCACAATAGCTAGGTTTCCATCCAATTGATGACAGATTTTCATGTGAATATTCTAAAATCTGCATAATGAATATATGTAAATTTTCCCACCAAACTGACTTGTTGCAGATAAAAATCATTGTGTGATGATGTAGTGCACACAAAATGTACTTTTTCACTTATGTTTTCATGTTGTTTTCTCCCTCTCCCCATCCATCTCTCCCTCCCTCTCCATCTCTCCCTCCCTCTCCCCATCCATCTCTCCCTCCCTCCCTCTCCCCATCCATCTCTCCCTCCCTCCCTCCCCCATCCATCTCTCCCTCCCTCTCCCCATCCATCTCTCCCTCCCTCTCCCCATCCATCTCTCCCTCCCCCCATCCATCTCTCCCTCCCTCTCCATCTCTCCCCATCCATCTCTCCCTCCCTCTCCCCATCCATCTCTCCCTCCCTCTCCCCATCCATCTCTCCCTCCCTCTCCATCTCTCCTTCCCTCTCCCCATCCATCTCTCCTTCCCTCTCCCCATCCATCTCTCCCTCCCTCTCCCCATCCATCTCTCCCTCCCTCTCCCCATCCATCTCTCCCTCCCTCCCCCCCCATCCATCTCTCCCTCCCTCCATCTCTCCATCTCTCCCTCTCTACCGCACCTGCTATCTCGACCTCTGAATGCTCAGCTATGAAAAGCCAACTGACATTTACTCCTGAGGTGCTGACCTGTTGCACCATCTACAACCACGGATTATTATTTGACCCTGTGGGTCATATATGAACGTTTGAACATCTTGAAAAACGATCTGGCCTTAATGGCCATGTACTCTTATCTCCACCCAGCATAGCCAGAAGAGGACTGGCCACCCCTCAGAGCCTGGTTTCTTCCTAGGTTCCTGCCTTTCTAGGGAGTTTTTCCGAGCCACCGTGCTTCTACATCTGCATTGCTTGCTCTTTGGGGTTTTAGGCTGAGTTTCTGTATAAGCACTTTGTGACATCTGCTGATGTAAAAAGGGCTTTATAAATATATTTGATTGATGTACCGAATAAAAATATAAAGTCCAATGTGTTTCCATCGCATTTTCAACTCTACCGAAAATACGACCCTTGATATTTATTGGAAAGGAGCATCAAGCTCATCACCGTGCACTTTCACCACCCTGTGAAGTTCATAACTTATTTAATCTGTACTGCACTACAAAAGGCAAAATATGACTTCAAAATCTTTTTCTGTCTAGACAGACAGGCATTTCTGATATTCCATGATATACTCTGATCAACTGGCATGTTCTTGTGTCAAGAAACTAAATACCAACATTAATCAAATAATATACCTGGCCATTACAACAGATCAAAGATTTGACCAACTTCATAGTTACTGCGTTTTGCCTTTGTAGGGCACTGTAGCCTAATAAACTGCATGGTTTCCTGAGTCGTAGTGGGAGGACCACACACCATATCATTGCGTAACTCAAAGTTTACTTCGATATGATGGTTATCATATCAATATTTGTGCATAAAGATGTTTCCACCACCATTTCTTGCAGAATTAATTTTACCAACACAAAAAGATCCCACCATGCTGAAAGAACAAATTCTGTCGGCATTTCTAAAATTTTGACGAAACTTCCTGTGTCCATCACAGTGATTTTCTTTATACGGTTTGACTTTACTTGCACAAAAACTGGATGGAAATGTAGTTAGTGGGACTTAAATCTGGCAGTGCACCATTACCTTTCCCAGTTTAAGCTGTTTGATGAAGGTTGTCCTCTGGCTTTCGAGGACATGCCCATTCACTAAGGCTCCTTGTTGAAGCTAACGGGAGAGAAGATGCCAAAACAAGGTTCATTCCAAAGCTCCAATAGTAACATACCCATAGGCTCACAGATGTACAGTTCCTTTTTCTTAACTAACTCACCAACCAAATAAGAGTGAAGACTAGTACCTTGGTGCAGTTTTCACACTCCACCTCTTTAATGGTCTCTGAAGAGATGAAATGCTGGAGACAGTGATCCAGAGAGACAGGCTGGCCCTAAGGGAAATATACTCTATCAGTCCTCAGCACATTGCATATACTGTAGCTCACAAGCCATTTATTTACATACAGTCATGTAAAACAGGGTTACCCGAACTCGTGCAAGCTTTTGCTCCTGCATCCTTGGTGTACACATATCACGGAAAACCGTCACCTTAATGATTTGAAGGTTTCCTTCATGTATTTTTTCTCCCGTCACCCATTCTGCTTACCCATTGCGGCGAAGGGATGGATAAGGAGAGGCTGTCGAAAGAGTCATATCGCACTGGACTCTGCAAACAAGAAAAGGGAATTAATAGCACAAACAAACCACTGATTTAAAGACAGTACACTGCCAAATATCTGATATTCACGTGATATGAATAATAAAATAAAAATTAATCACCTGTTGTTCGCAACGCTTGCATGCCATGTTGCTTGTTAGGCGGCCATGGAAAGGATGTGGAAACTTCCAAGGACTTCGTATAGGATGAAGAGGGCCTGGAAGAGCAAAAGTAGTTTTCATATTTTCCCAAAACCTACTTATCCAGTAACATATTCCAAACCACTATTTGTCTCCTTACCTCGACTCTTGCAGCTCAAGGTCTTCTCATCTATATCTGGGAGACTCTGATGCCAAAAACAAAAGAACAGAAGTCAGAAGGCAAATATACAATTAACTTGCATCAAAAACACACTGTGCTGAAAGAGACAAAACTGAGCAGGGCTGTGAGTGTTAAAGGAAGGAGAGGGATAAGAGCAACTGACCTCAAGGGACTGAATGTCAAAGAGGTGGGTGACTTTGGGCTGTCGGTCTCGCTCCTCCTCCAGGGAAGAGGTGAGGACATGGAAGAGCTCATGGGCATCCTAAGAAATGTAAATAGGGACGAGAGATTAAACCAATATACCATACACATTACATTTACATACACATTTAAGTCATATCGCACACGCTCTTATCCAAAGCGACTTACAGTTAGTGCATTAATCTTAAGATACACAAAAGTATGTTGACACCCCTTCAAATGAGTGGATTCAGCTATTTCAGCCACACCCGTTGCTGACAGGTGTATAAAATTGAGCACACAGCCATGCAATCTCCAGAGACAAACATTGGCAGTAGAATGGCCTTACTGAAGAAATCAGTGACTTTCCAACAAGTCAGTTCTTCTAATTTCTGTCCTGCTAGAGCTTCCCCGGTCAACTGTAAGTGCTGTTATTGTGAAGTGGAAACGTCTAGGTGCAACAACGGCTCAGCCGCAAAATGGTAAGCCACACAAGCTCACAGAAAAGGACCACCGAATGCTGAAGCGCGTTGCAACACTCACTACCGAGTTCCAAACTGCCTCTAGAAGCAACGTCAGCACAATAACTGTTTGTGGGGAGCTTCATGAAATGGGTTTCGATGGCCGAGCAGCCGCATGCCAAGCGTCAGCTGGAGTGGTGTAAAGCACGCCGCTATTGGACTCTGGAGCAGTGGAAACGCGTTCTCTGGAGTGATGAATCACACTTCACCATCTGGCAGTCCGACGGACTAATCTGGGTTTGTTGGATGCCAGGAGAACGCTACCTGTCCCAACGCATAGTGCCAACTGTAAAGTTTGGTGGAAGAGGAATAATGGTCTGGGGCTGGTTTCATGGTTTGGGCTAGGCCCCTTAGTTCCAGTGAAGGGAAATCTTAACACTATAGCATACAATGACATTCTAGACAATTCTGTGTTTCAAACTTTGTGTCAACAGTTTGGGGAAGGCCCTTTCCTGTTTCAGCATGACAATGCCCCCATGCACAAAGCAAGGTCCATACAGAAATGGTTTGTCGAGATCGGTGTGGAAGAACTTGACTGGCCTGCACAGAGCCCTGACCTCAACCCCATCGAAACACCTTTGGGATGAATTGGAACGGCGACTGCGAGCCAGGCCTAATCGCCCAACATCAGTGCCCAACCTCACTAAAGCTCTTGTCACACAACACAATGCCACAGATGTCTCAAGTTGAGGGAGATGCAATTGGCATGCTGAGTGCAGGAATGTCCACCATAACTATTGCCAGCGAATGTAATGTTAATTTCTACCATAAGCGAGCAAAGCTGGGACCGGGAGAATGAAAAACAGCTTCTATCTCAAGGCCATCATGAAGTGATGTTAAATTGCCATCACTAGCACAGAGGCTGCTGCTGCCTATTGAAATCACTGGCCACTTTAAGAAATGGAACACTAGTCACTTTAATAATGTTTACATATCTTGCATTACTCATCTCATATGTATATACTGTATTCTATTCTATAATATTATTCTGTATCTTAGTCCATGCCACTCTGTCATTGCTTGTCCATACACGTATATATTCATAAATTCCATTCCTTACTTAGATTTGTGTGATTAGGTATATGTTGTGAAATTGTTAGATATTACTTGTTAGATATTACTGCACTGTCAGAGCTAGAAGCACAAGCATTTCGCTACACCCGCAATAACATCTGCTTAACACGTGTATGTGACAAATAACATTTGATTTGATTTGATAAGCTGCCTCCAACGTCATTTTAGAGAATTTGGCACTAAGTGCAACCGGCCTCACAACCACAGACCGCGTGTTACCACACCAGCCCAGGACCTCCACATCCGGCTTCTTCACCTGCGGGATCGTCTGAGGCGGGGTGGGGGGTGCTGAGGAGTATTTCTGTCTGTAATAAAGCCCTTTTGTGGGGAAAAACTCATTCTGATTGGCTGGGCCTGGCTCCCCAGTGGGTGGGCCTATACCCTCCCAGGTCCACCCATGGCTGTACCCCTGCCGTCATGTGAATTAGGGCCTAATGACTTTATTTCGATTGACTGATTTCCTTATATGAACTGTAACTCAGTCAAATATTTGAAATTGTTGCATTTATATTTTTGTTCAGTATAGTAAGTACATTTTTCCTCAAAGTAGCTATCGGCAGTCAGTGCTAGTAGGGGAGGGAGTCAAGTTTGAGTGTTAGTTTACAAAAAGGCAAGTTGTTCTTTGGGGGGGGGGGGGGATTATTTAAGATACTCTTTGAAGAGGTAGGGTTTCAGATGTTTTCGGAAGATGGGCAGGGACACTGCTGTCCTAGCTTCAGGGGGAAGCTGGTTCCACCATTGGGGTGCCAGGACAGAGAAGAGCTTTGAATGGGCTGAGCGGGAGCTGGGGTGGGAGGTCCAAGAAACCAGACGTGTCAGAACAGAGTACTCGGGTTGGGGTGTAGGGTTTGAGCATAGCCTGAAGGTAGGGAGGGGCAGTTCCTCTTGCTGCGCCATTGGCAAGTACCATGGTCTTGTAATGGATGCGAGCTTCGACTGGAAGGGTTTCCTTTCAATTTGTTTTGAACGTGGAGCAGAATTCTTATGGGGAACAGATTTAAGACAATCATTTTGACTTGAATTGAATGCTCTGAAAAATGTATCACTAATGCTTAACAAGTAAGGATAACGCACCTGTTCCTCAAAGGAACTGATGTGCCACCTGTAGAGTCTGAGGACCTCCAGCAGACACCCTGCATTCAGCACATCCTCCTCCCCAGGGTCGTTTGACAGTGCTGCAATTCAGAGAATCCACTGTCAGGCTACATCCCAAATGGTACCCTATTCCCTATATAGTGCACTACATAGACCCTGGTCAAAAGTAGTGCACCATGTAGGGTATAGGGTGCCATTTGGGTTGCACCCATAGAGTGTAACAATTGAGTGAACAGAGATTCTGATTCCTTCTCCGCCCATCACAGAACACTACCTTTGAGAAGCTGCAGGAGAGTTCTGGAAAGTTTAGGGTCCTTCTCTGGCTCACCATCTGACACACCTTTGCGGCTAGTTAACTCCTCCAGCCACTTGACAAAGGAAGGGCAGGCTGCCAGGCCCTGGAGCAGAGAGTTCATGAAGCAGGTGTTTCCCAGGTTCAGCAGGCCTGGTACCATGCCTATGGTGGATACTTTTTTTTAGTATACAGTCAATGGCCCTCATAAACATCCACTTACATAACATTAGTGATCCTGTCTTAAACTGTCAACACAGACACTGGGCAAGCTTACCTTTCTTCCTTTTCTTGCTGTCTGTAATTGGACCCCATAGAACATATACTCCAGCAGCCATGGCAGCCGCTATTCCACCAATGACTCCCCAGTTTTTCATAATTTTGTTCCTGAAAAATATTCCAAAGCTATACATATTATTGGCAGTTTCACTGACAAGGCTGAACTGTTTGGACAACACATGCGTTTCCCTTTACTTACACTGAATAGATCGTATGTCCATATCTAACTAACTCTAATGTATCCAAAGCAGCAGCAGTGGAGCCCAATTTAGCTAACTAAACCTGTGAACTAGATAATTCCTGGTTCATGTAAGTCCAATTAAACCAGTTAGTTTGCTGTCGCCCCATTTCATTTGCCAAGCACGACACGACACATGTTCTCCAGCCGACGATAGGCTGTCCTGTCCGCTTGACAGACAGATCTTTCTATAAACATTAGATAACGCTACTGTAGCTTGCTCTTTTTTTTTTACACCCTCTACTACGACATAATGCACATAGAGTTCTCTAAAACATGTTGCAATTTTGCTAACAGATGGTATGGTAATCCCATAAAAGTAGTCTGTCTAGTCGTTAATTTCCGATTGATGCAGTCAACAGATCAACAGTACTCGATTGCTTTGGCATGGTTTGTGTGTGCGCCACTTAAAAACGTCGTTCGTGCTGCGCAATAAGAAAGAGCAAGCTCATTGACCACACTTTGCTAAACCCCGACACAATCACATATTTAATGCGCGAAAAGCAACGCGTTTTAAAACATTCAGGTCTGACCTGACAATGGATCCAGAGTACAGGAACTCCCGAATAAGCTTTTCAGATGTCGCTGGTCTGCACCACGGCATATTCTCGGAGCTAGCGTGGTGGAACTTAAATTAGGAGTCTTTGGATTTTTGACGGACCAAACACAGCAGTACCGGAAGCCATTTGTCGCAGGCATCATCAGCACAAAACAGGTCGTTCACTTGGAGTAACAATCCAGAATAGATTTTTGGTTTATATCCACATTTATTGATAGTGAGTGTGTTACTACAACTAGTTGTACTACTCCCCTCACAGACCATAGGGCCATTCACATTGATATCAAAATATTTACCCGTGATACTAACCTTGGTAGAGCATCCTACTGGAAGCTAAATAGCTCGTTATTAAGTAATGATATAGTTAAGTTTGAGGTTAAAGATCTGCTCTCACACTTTTGGGAAAGGGCTTGTGAAGAAAAATCCTATTGCAAGAACGGGGAGCTCTTTAAATTTGAGGGGACTCAAATACCTTAGAAAATATGGTAGTAATCTTGCTAACACCAGAAGAGCTGAGGAGGAAAAGGTGATCATTAACATAACTTCCTTTTCTCAGAGGTCCCCAGCCGGCCTCTCGGAGGAGGAGAAGATGGAACTGATTTGAGTTACAAAATAAACTGGATAATATATATAGATTAAAAGCAGAAGGAGCCTTTATTAGATCTAGGAAAAAATGGCTTGGAGGGAGAACAGAATTCATCCTATTTCTTTAGACTTGAGAAATGTCACTACAGATCACACTATCCGTAAGTTAAACATTGATGGTGTTATTACAGTTGACTGAAAAATAATCGCTAAATACTGTAGCAATTTTTACAGGAAATTATATAGCTCAGGAATCCACAGATAGGTTTTTTGACTCAATGAATAATGTTCACTCAATCAGTGATACAGAATCTAATCAGTGTGATGAACCCATCAAAGTTGAAGAGATTATCGAGTCTATTAAACATCTAAAGAACAATAAATCCCCAGGTATTAATGGAATTACGTCAGAATTTTACACATTATTTTCTGAACAAGTAGCTCCCTTCCTACTTGAAGTCTTTTTAGAGAGTATTAAAAACAATGTTCTCCCTCCTACAATGAGTCAGGGGTTAATAACACTGATACCTAAACCTAAAAAATAAGTGCTGCTTATCGATAACTGGCGTCCAATTTGTCTTCTTAATAATGTCTATAAGATATTAGCCTTACTACTTGCAAAAATAATGAAAGAAGTCCTGTATTCAATCACTGATGAAACACAGTCTGGCTTTATGAGGAACAGACATATTTCTAACAATACCAGACTAGTATCAGACATACTTGACTACTCAGACCTAATAACCGAGGATAGCTTCATATTATTTTTTAGATTTTTATAAAGCATTTGACACAGTAGAGCATCAGTTCCTCTTCCACTCCCTTCATAAACTTGGCTTCAGGGATTTTTTGCTGTAAGGGTATTAAGACTCTCTATACAAATGGTAACAGCTCTATCAAACTGAAACATGGCACCTCACCTAGATTTGAGTTACAGAGAGGAATTAGGCAAGGTTGTCCTATCTCACTGTATCTGTTTTTATTAATCACCCAACTTCTTACAAATTCTTTAAATAGTAGTCCTGTATAAGGTATTTCCATAGCTGGTCAATAAATTATTATAAGCCAGCTGGCTGACGATACTACACTTTTTCTGAAAGACGCTAATCAAATTCCCACATCGATCAATGTGATAAAATCATTTCCCAAAGCATCTGTTCTATATCTTGACATTAATAAATGTGAACTCATGGCTGTCAAAGATTGTGTCACACCCTCATATTATGGTATTCCAGTGGAAGAAGAATGTACATATTTAGGCATAACCATTACTAAGGATCAGAAGTCTAGAGGTTTACTAAAATGTAACCCTCTTGTTAAAAAAACCCAGAAGAAGCTAAATCAATGGCTACACAGGTACTTATCTTTAAAAGGAAGTCCTAATAACCAAGGCTGAGGGTATCTCTAGGCTAACATATGCCGCTCGATCTTTATATCTTGATGGTAAAATAAGCAAAGAGATAGACCAGATGCTTTTCAACTATCTGTGGAGAAACCGTACCCATTACATTAGGAAAACTGTTGTAATGAACACTTATGAGTATGGTGGGCTGAATTTCTTAGACTTTATTACCTTAAATAATACTTTTAAGATCAATTGGATAAAACAATTCCTAAAAAGACCCACTTCTATGTGAAATTTTATTCCTCATCATGTCTTCTCTTCTTTTGGTGGACTTAACTTCATGTTGGTTCCAGTGAAACTCTCTGCTTTTCATCGGCACGTTTTCTTGTCATGGTCCTTAATTTATGAGCATCATTTTTCTCCACACAGATATTATATATGGAATAATCAGGATATATTGTATAAAAATACTTATAGGTTTTTAGAATATTGGACCCAAAATAATATCCTATTGGTGAGCCAACTTGTAAATGCAGAGGGTTTTTTTACTTAGTTCTAATAAATTATTATCACTTTACAAGATCCCTGTAACACCTAAAGATTTTGCAATTGCCATTCCCTCAGGTGTTGCTGTGATGAGTGTGATGAAAAGGAGTCAGGCGCAGGAGGGTAATCACCGAATACAGAGTTTATTCCTTCGTAGACACACAAATGCGCTCAAATAGCGATCAACGAAACAGGCACAGGGGAAACTATCATCCCTGGCAAATACACTGTAACGGATATCCAATAATACATAGGCACAGGGGAAAATCTACCCTGGCAACAATATGTTACGAGTAGCTCCACCGAGCTACACTACTCTCACAAATAACAATCACCCACAAGGACAAGGGGGCAGAGGGAACACTTATACACTGACTAATTAGGGGATAGGAACCAGGTGTGTGTGATTGAACAAGACAAGACAATTGTGATGATGATTGGAGCGGCAGTGGTTAGTAAGCCGGTGACGACGAACGCCGAAGCCTACCCAAACAAGGAGGGGAGGCAGCCTCAGCCGAAGTCGTAACAGTACCCCCACCTTGACGCACAGCTCCAGCAGCCGGGGTCGGCGAGCTGGATGGCGACGGTGGAAATCCCGCAACAGGGAGGGATCGAGGATATCCCTCACCGGGACCCAGCACCGTTCCTCCGAACCATACCCTTCCCACTCCACGAGGTACTGAAGGCCTCCCACCCGACACCTCAAATCCAGGATGGAACGGACAGAGTACGCCGGGGCCCCCTCGATGTCCAGAGGAGGTGGAGGAACCTCCCGCACCTCAGACTCCTGGAGCGGACCAACCACCATCGGCCCGAGGAGAGACACATGAAACGAGGGGTTAATACGGTAATCAGGGGGAAGTAATAACCTTTACGTGACCTTGTTGATTCTCCTCAGGACTTTGAACGGCCCCACAAACCGCGGGCTCAGCTTCCGGCAGGGCAGGCGGAGGGGCAGATTCTGGGTCGAGAGCCAGACCCGATCCCCCGGTACGAAGACCAGGGCCTCACTGCGGTGACCGTCAGCATTGGCCTTCTGACGATGCAGCGTCCCACATCTCCTCCGCGCGCCGAAACCAGTCATCCACCGCAGGAGCCTCGGTCTGGCTCTGGTGCCACGGTGCCAGAACCAGTTGGTAACCTAAAACACATTGGAATGGTGTTAGGTTAGTAGAGGAGTGGCGGAGAGAGTTCTGGGCATATTCTGCCCATGGCAGGAACACCGACCACTCCCCCGGCCAGTCATGGCAGTAGGACCGCAGGAACCTACCCACATCCTGATTTACCCTTTCCACATGCCCATTTCACTCGGGGTGGAACCCAGAGGTCAGGCTGACCGAGACCCCCAGACGTTCCATGAACACCTTCCAAACCTTGGACGTGAACTGGGGACCTCGGTTGGACACTATATCCTCTGGCACCCCGTAGTGCCGGAAGACGTGAGTAGACAGGGCCTCCGCAGTCTGCAGGGCTGTGGGGAGACCGGGCAGAGGAAGGAGGCGGCAGGACTTGGAGAAGCGGTCCACAACGCCCAGGATGGTGGTGTTACCTTGGGAGAGGGGAAGATCAGTCAAAAAATCTATACTAAGGTGAGACCATGGTCGTTGTGGAACTGGTAAAGGTTGTAGCTTACCCGCTGGGAGGTGCCTAGGTGCCATACTATGGGCGCACACCGAACAGGAGGAGACGTACACTCTCACGTCCTTAGCCAAGGTAGGCCACCAGTACTTTCTGATCAAGCAGTGCACTGTACGACCAATACCTGGGTGACCAGAGGAGGGTGACGTGTGTGCCCAGAAGATCAGACGATCATGGATAAGAGCAGGCACGTACCGCAGCCCAGCTGGACACTGCGATGGAGATGGATCTGTGCGTAATGCCTGCTCTATATCCGCGTCCATCGCCCATACTACCGGCGCCACAATGCAGGAGGCCGGGAGTATGGGGGTGTTGTCTCTGGGCAGCTCTTCTGTGTCATACAGCTGGGACAGTGCGTCTGCCTTCACGTTCTTCGTACCCGGAATGTATGACAGTGTAAAATCAAACCGGGTGAAGAATAGGGCCCACCTGGCCTGGCGAGGATTCAGCCTCCTCGGTGCCCGGATGTACTCCAGGTTACGGTGGTCCATCCAGATGAGGAAAGGGTGTTTTGCCCCTTCAAGCCAATGCCTCCACACGGTCAAAGCTCGGACAACAGCCAACAGCTCCCGATCACCAACGTCGTAGTTCTGCTCCGCCGGGCTGAGCTTCTTAGAGAAGAAGGCACAGGGGCGGAGCTTGGGTGGCGTGCCCGAGCGTTAGGACAGGACAGCACCTATCCCTACCTCGGACGCATCCACCTCCACTACGAACGGTAGTGATGGATCGGGGTGGGCCAGTACCGGAGCTGAGGTGAACAGACCCCGCAGTCTCCTAAAGGCCAGGTCAGCCTCAGCAGACCAGCTGAGCCGGGACGGCCCACCGGGACGGCCCACCCTTCAACAGGGATGTAATGGGAGCTGCAACCTTGCCAAAGCCCCGGAGAAACCTCCGATAGTAGTTGGCAAAGCCAAGGAAGCGCTGCACCTCC